GCAGGACACCACAAGTAGCAAGACACCACAAGTACACACCACAAGTAGCAGGACACCACAAGTAGCAGGACACCACAAGTAGCAGGACACCACAAGTAGCAGGACACCACAAGTAGCAGAACACCACAAGACACACACAAGTAGCAGGACACCACAAGTAGCAGGACACCACAAGACACCACAAGTAGCAGGACACCACAAGTAGCACCACAAGTAGCAGGACACCACAAGTAGCAGGACACCACAAGTAGCAGGACACCACAAGTAGCAGGACACCACAAGTAGCAAGGACACCACAAGTAGCAGGACCACAAGTAGCAGGACACACCACAAGTAGCAGGACACCACAAGTAGCAGGACACCACAAGTAGCACACCACAAGTAGCAGGACACCACAAGTAGCAGGACACACCACAAGTAGCAGGACACCACAAGTAGCAGGACACCACAAGTAGCAGGACACCACAAGTAGCAAGACACCACAAGTAGCAGGACACCACAAGTAGCAGGACACCACAAGTAGCAGGACACCACAAGTAGCAAGACACCACAAGTAGCAAGACACCACAAGTAGCAAGACACCACAAGTAGCAGGACACCACAAGTAGCAGGACACCACAAGTAGCAGGACACCACAAGTAGCAGGACACCACAAGTAGCAAGACACCACAAGTAGCAAGACACCACAAGTAGCAGGACACCACAAGTAGCAGGACACCACAAGTAGCAGGACACCACAAGTAGCAGGACACCACAAGTAGCAGGACACCACAAGTAGCAGGACACCACAAGACACCACAAGTAGCAAGACACCACAAGTAGCAGGACACCACAAGTAGCAAGACACCACAAGTAGCAAGACACCACAAGTAGCAGACACACCACAAGTAGCAGGACACCACAAGACACCACAAGTAGCAGGACAGTAGCAGGACACCACAAGTAGCAGGACACCACAAGTAGCAGGACACCACAAGTAGCAGGACACCACAAGTAGCAGGACACCACAAGTAGCAGGACACCACAAGTAGCAGGACACCACAAGTAGCAGGACACCACAAGTAGCAGGACACCACAAGTAGCAGGACACCACAAGTAGCAGGACACCACAAGTAGCAGACACCACAAGACACCACAAGTAGCAAGACACCACAAGTAGCAGGACACCACAAGTAGCAGGACACCACAAGTAGCAGGACACCACAAGTAGCAGGACACCACAACAAGTAGCAAGACACCACAAGTAGCAGACACCACAAGTAGCAGGACACCACAAGTAGCAGGACACCACAAGTACACCACAAGTAGTAAGACACCACAAGTAGCAGGACACCACAAGTAGCAAGACACCACAAGTAGCAGGACACCACAAGTAGCAAGACACCACAAGTAGCAGGACACCACAAGTAGCAAGACACCACAAGTAGCAGGACACCACAAGTAGCAGGACACCACAAGTAGCAAGACACCACAAGTAGCAAGACACCACAAGTAGCAAGACACCACAAGTAGCAAGACACCACAAGTAGCAAGACACCACAAGTAGCAAGACACCACAAGTAGCAAGACACACAAAGTAGCAAGACACCACAAGTAGCAAGAACCCAAAGTAGCAAGATACCACAAGTAGCAAGATACCACAAGTAGTAAGAATACCACAAGTAGCAGGACACCACAAGTAGCAAGACACCACAAGTAGCAGGACACCACAAGTAGCAAGACACCACAAGTAGCACACAAGTAGCAGGACACCACAAGTAGTAAGACACCACAAGTAGCAGGACACCACAAGTAGCAGGACACCACAAGTAGCAGGACACCACAAGTAGCAAGACACCACAAGTAGCAAGACACCACTAGTAGCAAGACACCACAAGTAGCAGGACACCACAAGTAGCAGGACACCACAAGTAGTAAGACACCACAAGTAGCAGGACACCACAAGTAGTAAGACACCACAAGTAGCAGGACACCACAAGTAGCAAGACACCACAAGTAGCAGGACACCACAAGTAGCAGGACACCACAAGTAGCAAGACACCACAAGTAGCAAGACACCACAAGTAGCAAGACACCACAAGTAGCAAGACACCACAAGTAGCAAGACACCACAAGTAGCAAGACACCCCAAATAGCAAGATACCCCAATTAGCAACATAGCACAAGAAGCAAGAACCCAAATTAGCAAGATACCCAAAGTAGCAAGATACCCCAAGTAGCAAAATAGCACAAGTTGAAAGATATCCCAAGTAGCAAGATACCCCAAGTAGCAAAATAGCACAAGTTGAAAGATATCCCAAGTAGCAAGATAAAATAAGACGAGCAATGTCAGAGGAATCAGATTCGATAAGAATTTTATTGAGGGACACTGGGGGTAGGGGAATTTTTTATTATCCTAAAAAAATCAGAACCCGTAAGTCATTATCGACAAAAAGCGCTAAGCCAGAATGGCTACATAGCACTGTCAGAATTCTGAAGACATCGTAGATATCATTCACGATGCCAATATAAGAGCAGAAAGGCGAGTGATGTTGTGGCATTAATCACACCCATGCAGTATTCATTAAATCACCATCTTCACCTGCAGAACATCCTGACATTTAATAAATAAGTATGATGGAAAGTATAAGCTATTTTATAAAATTTATTTTCAAATAAGGTGGAAGATCATATCTTCAGTGGTCTTCCTACATTCTAACTAGAAAACTTAAGGTTTCAGAACAGCTGAGTAGCAAGAACTTCAGATGGCATCATGGAACAAGAGGTAACATTTAACAAATTGGCAAAATATAAAAAAATAAAAAGTATTGGACAGCCAATATTGCATTATGCGTATTCAGTCACAGAGGTGTGAGTGTAGTTTCACTTTACTAAACAGGTCACCTCACAGTCTTGCTTTTGTAATGCTACCAGCTCAAGGGAACCATATCCACATGCATCCTGCTGAATGCTTCACTGCCAGCCGTTCTTTTCCCGCAGAATTTCAAGCGACTTCTTTACATTTTTTTAAATGGACAGATGTCTTAATAGCATATTGCAACAAAATCAAAACCAACCAAAAAAAAAAATGACAAAAAAAAAAAAAAAAAAGAGAGATTTCACCATCACTTCTCAGGTTCTGTGAGCCTGGGGGCTAATACACACACACACACACACACCTCGGAATTAAGCTCCTCAAATTTCAATACGCAATCGAAAAAGAGTTTTGGTCAATTCAAATCTCGGCCCCTTCCCATCACAGCCCCAGAGACAAGAGGTTAACTAGATGGCAACAATACCAGTGTGTGTCTTTTATTGACAACTAAGATGTAGGAACTAACTTTTTTTTTTTTTTTTTACAAAATCTTTACATATGCACAATATTCCTATGTATTCCTATAGAGGTTCAGTTAGAAATATGACTTTTGCAAAGAATCACAAAAAATAAAATGGTTTCATGATATATTATTTATAGCAAGTGTGATATATGTATATTATATATAATATAAATATAATATTATATAATATATATATATATATACACAGTATATATAAATAAGGTGAGTTTCATAGCAGGACATAACTTGGGGAGTGAATGATGAAAGCTACTCTCTGGCTGCTGCAGTTGTTACCTACAGTCATCTTACAGCCCTTGATTCCTGCTCAACTGTTTGAACAATGAACTGAGTATTTGCCACACGGCTCATTTCCACACTATCTGCTGATGACGACTCACTTTAGTATTACTATGTACACAAAGTCCTTTGATTTTAAGGCTTCCAACTCTTTAATGCCGAATATGACTACGAGTTTCAGGACTTGGCACTGAGCAAAATAAAGTTCTGAAATTGTGTTAAGCTTCTGAATACAAATTTTAAAGCTTTAGAATAAAGTTAGCCATGGAAATATTTGTAGTCCGAGTGAGGTTTCACCCGTGCGGGGACGACTGCACTATGTGATGTTACTTAACAACTTTACTTGAAAATGTATCTGTAACAAATAACCAAAGTCGGGTGCTACTTATTGTACGACAAGACAACAATACTGAGGAAACTCAATATTTAAACTCTCTCCCTTTATAATTACTTAACAATGGTAATATCCCGACGCCATTCACACGCGCGCACGCTGTCACATTCACAGACCAAGCTCAAGAATGGACATTTCTACCTGCTGGTCACAAGACCCGCTGCGGCATTTGACCTTTAAAACCCGAGTTTGTGTTCTGGCGATGCTGGACAGGTGTGAACATCACCACCACATGACAGCTTGCTGCTCAAAACTTTCCAGTCTCATCTTCTAAGGAACAAAATCATTCAACTGATAACATCACAAAAACACAAATTATAAAAAATTTCTTAGGATTAACAATCTATCCTTGATTGAAAAAAAATATAGTTATCAAATAATAATTGTGAAAATTTAATTCACAATTTTTTTCATGACTCCTATCATTCATTCATTCATATTGTGTGTGTGTGTGTATGTGTATGTGTATGTGTATGTGTGTGTGTGTGTGTGTGTGTGTGTGTGTGTGTGTGTGTGTGTGTGTGTGTGTGTGTGTGTGTGCGCGCGCATGTGAGTGTGTGTCTGTGTGTATATACTATTATATATATATATATATATACTATTATATATATATATTATATATACTATTATATATATATACATTATAAGAGGATTATATATATATATATATATATATATATATATATATATATATATATATATATATATATATATATATATGTATGTATATATATATACACATATATCATACATACATATATATGTCACACACACACACACACACCTACTGTATATGAATATACACACACATACATACATATATACAAGTATGATGGGTATTGCAAGGTTCCCTGTTGATAACACGAGGAAGATATCTCCAAGATATCTATTCATCAGCCAGATATACTTAGGTAATGTTGTTGAGCTTCATGTCTGCATGAAGAACAGAACACACATTACATAGTTTCTGAAGAAAAAGGAGAATCACTAAGTAATCGTGTTACTTGGATCAATTTTCTTTTTTTTTTTTACATTCGTAAGTAAACGACACTGATGATATTTAATCCCATCCGTCTTCTGAACAGGGAAGCCCAAGACCTAAAAATCTCTCCATTTTAGGATTCAATATTTTCATTACATACATTATAAGAGGATTGGAACCTGAGTTACACTATCTTGCCCTATTACAGGAGATGGCCTGTAGTAGCTAATATGGCCCCTTATCTATCTTGACTGGAAAAATAAAGTTAAAAAAAAAATTAACACAAAAAAATAACAAGCAGTGCCATGTTTTGATCCAATGACTTTCCAACACCTGGGCTGTACATAGTCTCGTGCTCAAGACGTCTCAGTCTCTCACTGTCACGACCTCAAACCATCAGCGTCCATTAGCACTTCACGAGGTGTGAGAGACTTCGTCCTTAAAACATCAAGGAACGTGGGAGGGAGGGGTGAGGTGAAGGGGAAGGAGGGCAAATTTGTACATAGACTTTGCACGATCTATGGGCGTCTCTTCGCCCAAGTAGTGTAGCAGCCATCTGCGATTATGTTGACTCAGCTTTCATGGTGGAATGACTCTTGGCTTGTGGTCACCTAAAGAATGAAATCAATCAGAATTAGGCTCAGACATAAATTACAGCATTTAAACATTATTTTTTAAATTGATAAAATAAGTATTGAAATAAACTAATACCTTTACTACCCATTATTCACTGTGAATTGTGTCGATTTATATATATATATAAAAAGTTCCATGTCCTCATATATATATTATATAATTGTGTGTGTGTGTGTTTGTGTAATTACCTAAGTCTAGTTACAGGATGAGAGCTACACTCGTGGTGTCCCGTCTTCCCAGCACTCTGTCATATAACACTTTGAAACTACTGACGGTCTTGGCCTCCACCACCTTCTCACCTAACTTGTTCCAACCGTCTACCACTCTGTTTGCGAAAGTGAATTTTCTTGTACTATATTTCTTCGGCATCTTTGTTTAGTTAATTTAAATCTATGACCTCTGTTTGTACTTGAAGTTCCAGGTCTCGGGAACTCTTCCCTATTGATTTTATCAATTCCTGTTACTATTTTGTATGTAGTGATCATATCACCTCTTTCTTCCGTCTTCTAGATTTGGCATATTTAATGCCTCTAACCTCTCCTCGTAGCTCTTGCCCTTCAGTTCTGGGAGCCACTTAGTAGCATGTCTTTTTACACGATTTAGTTTTTATTATTTTTTTTTTTCAATATTTTCACAATTACACTTGCCAATGATACAGGTCTATAATTAAGAGGGGGTCTTCCCTGCTGCCACTTTTGTAGATTGGAGCTAGGTTAGCCTTTCTCCACACTTCTGCTATGACTCCTGTACACAGGGATGCCTGAAAGATCAGGTGAAGTGGAATGCTGAGCTCAGATGCACATTTTCTCAGAACCCATGGTGAAACTTCATCTGGACCAACTGCTTTGTTCTTACTTAGCTACTTTAGCATATTTTCCACTTCATCTCTAGACACCTCTATCCGCTCTATGTTGTTCTCTGGAATTCTTATTGTGTCTGGTTCTCTGAAGATTTCATTTTGTACAAACACACTTTGGAACTTTTCGTTTAATGTTTCACACATTTTCTTTTCATTTTGTGTGAATCTGTTTCCCATTTTCAACCTCTGGATATTATCCTTTACCTGCAATTTGTTGTTTATGAATTTGTAGAATAGGCCTGGTTCTGTTTTACATTTATCCGCTATCCCTTTTTCAAAATTTCTTTCTGCCTCTCTCCTTACTGCCGTATAGTTGTTTCTCGCATCTTTGTATCGCTGGTATGTTTGGGGGTTTGGCCTCTTCCTATATTGATTCCATTTTTGTGTCTTTTGGTCTCTGGCTCTCTCACAATTTCTGTTGAACCAATCCTATTTTCTGACCCTGCATCTCTGTTTTGGTAATTAATTACCTAAGTGTAATTACCTAAGTGTAATTACCTAAGTGTAGTTACAGGATGAGAGCTACGCTCGTGGTGTCCCGTCTTCCCAGCACTCTTTGTCATATAACGCTTTGAAACTACTGACGGTCTTGGCCTCCACCGTTACAGCAATTTAAAAAATATTACTCATATATTCAGTACATTATTTACACTATAGCAGCAGCACAGATAAGCACCACCACCTGGTATGAATGTTTGTGTGCCTTCATCATATACTTTGCAAAATTTGGCATACATTTCATTTACTTCCCTTCCTAGCAACAAGTCTGTCCAATTGCACTCACTAAAATTTTTTAGAAGTTCCCTATAGTGACGTCTTTTTAAATCGAGTTTATCAACTGTTTCAATGTCCCAAGTTTCTTCTATATGATATCTTGAAGCATATTTAATGTCTAACAGGACATGATCACTCTTTCCTAAGGGAGGAAGGTACTGGATGTCAAATATATCTTCTTTCCTAGTGAATACTAGATCCAGTACTGACGGTACATCTCCTTCCCTCATTCTTGTGGCCTGCTTGATGGGTTAATACAAGAATGACTCCAAAATGAGGTTCACAAATCTACATGTCCAAAAGTCCTCAGTTCTTGCTTCATAGGCCTCCCAGTCTATTGTTTTAAAGTCGAAGTCCCCCAGAATCAACAGTCATGATTTATCTTTATTTGCTTGTGCAATAATCTCTCTCATGACCATTATGAGGCCCTCTCGTTTGTCATCCAGTTCTTCCTTTGTCCATGTGATGCTTGCTGGTGGGCTGGGGTTCTGGGAGTTGTTCTACTCCCAAAGCCTGGCCAGGGCTAGGCTTGACTTGGTCCAACACGCTGTTGCTTAGAGTGGCCCAAAGGCCCAGATATCCACTACAGCCCAGTTGGTCTGGCACTTGCAGAAAACTGTCCAGTTTTTTCTTGAACACTTCCAATTTTGTTATGGGAATATTTCTTATATTTGTCGGGAGGATGTTGAACAACTGTGGACCTCTGATGTTCATACAGTGTTCTCTGTGTCTATGGCATCCTCTACTCTTCACTGGTTCTATTCAACATTTCCTTTCATATCGTTCACTCCAGTATGTTGTTATTTTACTGAAAACATTTGATGTTCTGAAAGCAGAAGAATTACACTATGTTTTGCCTTAGACATTAAGAGGTAGCAGATATACTGTGGCAATTATAATTATAGAAAACAGTACTCTAGGTGAGTAACATTTTAAAATGAGGACAGCTTGAAACACTTGAGATTGAAGGCGAGGGGCAACTGTTGGAACAGTTATCTTTCCCTGGCACCAGTTGAAAGCATATTTCCAAGAGGATTAAGGTTTAGTATGAAAATGGAAAACAGAGACAATAAGTGCAGTTGGATAGGGGCATCAATTCCAGTGTGATAACAAGCTTATATTAGGGAAAACAGTTAGCCATAGAGTTTTACCCCAAGAAGAAACTGGAATAACCCTACAGACAACCTGAGAGACACGAGTCCTGGAACAGGGAACCAGGCTAACCGGATCTACCCAGAGCACGTCCACAAGGTCAAGTAGCGACGCAAAGCCACAACCGGACACAAAACACGATGCACCTCCGGCAAAACTAGCCAAGCATCAACAACCCATGGATAGCTCCAGAAACCAGCCATCTCATTCTTTGCCAGAAAAGGTGGCTAAAAACGAACAAAATGAACCCCAGGACCAAAAAGAGCAAAAACCACTGCATCAGACAAGAGCATGAAGCTTCCCCCACCCGACTATCAGAGGCTGAAGCCAAAAATAACAAGGCCTTCAAAAAAACAATTCCGGACTGAAGGGGCCACTATAAACCAAAGAGAGGAAAGAAATGAGAACACCCAGTCCAAAGACCGAAGCACGGAAGAGTAAGCCAAACCAGTGAGGTACTGTACCTCTCCGGCCCAACCTGCTGAAAGAGGCAGAGCCGTGGAAAAATGCTCGGGTTCAGACACCCGAGCACCTGAAACCAATGCTAGGCTGGCCACCATGCGACCAGGAGAACCAATCTCCCCTAATAGGATTCAAGCCGAGCCAAAACCGGAAGCAACAGCTGGACCGGGGGATAAAGGTACAGGTACCGTCACCTCGACCAGCCCTGACAGAAAGCGTATAATGGGAGACGCCGTGGCTACACCGACATGAAGAAGGCCACCTTTAGGCTCCAAAACATCTGACAAAGCCAAAGGAAGGAAGAGGCATCGACCGTCCACTCATTGGAAAGAGGAATGAAGCAAGACAGGCCAACCGCCAGGACGTTGGAAACCCCCCAAATGTGAATGGTGCGAAGAGCTAAACCCAGAGAACTCGGCATAAGAGCCACCTGAAGTGACCAGTTCCAGAGCCACGGACTGCAGAAACCCCAGTTTAGACAATGAGCCACAGGGGAGCAGTCCCAATGGAGCCAGATCACAGAGCCCCGAGCTAAATAAAATCCACCACAGTACCTGTCACACAGCCGCAAACTCCCGCACTTTGCTGTGAGCCCAACAGAAGGACAGCCCAACGCTCCTGTCTAGCCTGGTGAGCACTGGTCACAAAACCCCAGCCAAGAGACGAGGCTTCAAAGAACATATCGAGTAAGGGAAGGGGAAGGCATCATGGCACCAAACCCCGAAAAACCCAAAGAGGAAGCCGGAGACACAGCAACCGACACAAGGACCCCAGAGGTTGAACCCACCAATCACGAGAGTGGCGAAAGGGCCTGCCCCGGGGATATCAGAACAGCCTTCGAAGCAAATCCCTGCCCAGCGGAAATATCAGCAAGGCAATGTTCAGGCTCCCGCACAGCTGCTCGAGCAACTGCTGAGTGAGGTCCGGGTTCCCCCTCCCTGAAGACAGCAGACGACGGGACTGCAGCCGGAGCAAAGTCACAGGAGGCAGAGAAACGGACATAGTCTCAGAATCCTACATGAGGTACAGCCAAGTCCGAACCAGGGACGGAACCAGATGGGACTTCCGCCAATTCACCAGGAACGCAAACCTGGCAATCTGGGAAAGAGCCAAAGCCCTGGCTAGAAGACATGCCAGACATGCAGACCAGCTGGGAGCCCACTCCAACCAGTCATTGAGGTAGGCCAGAACCTGAATACCTAGGAGATGAAATGGGCCACAACGAGCCTGGTTAAACATATGAATACATGAGGTGCCAGATTCAGACCGAATGGAAGGCAACAAAAGCAGTAAGCCTGATGCCCGGCCACGAAACCTAACCAATCCCTGAACCCCGGATGAATAGGAACGTGCCAATAAGCGTCCTTGAGGTCCAGGGAAATCATTCAAGTGCCCGACTCGAGAAGCCGGACCTGGGACAACATATTCATCCAAAAGGAGGGACAAGGATTTCAACAGTTCAGATGGGACAAGTCTAGAATGAACTGAAGATCTGCACAGTCCCATTTCGGAACCGGAAACAAGTGGGAAATCGACTTGAAGGACTAATCGTTTTGACCACGCCCAAGCGAACCCACTCCAAGATTACCAAACAAAGACGTGGGGAAGAAGACTGCCCTACCAGTCCCGAACCCTCGACATGAGGAGAAGCCACCCAACGCCACCAAACACCAAAAGAGACAACTAGAAAAGCTCACAATTCGTGGGACCAATCATGGACAAACAGAGCCAGCCTCCCCCCCCCATCACCCCTCGAAAGGGCCGATATGACCTCCGAGAAGCAAACTTCTGAACAGAAGGACCACTGTGCCAACCCGACAAAAAAAGCCCCGGAGGACATACTGGCTCAAAAACTGGCACCAAAAGCCCACCTCTACCTACCGAAACCCAAGCCTTGACACGACCACCATGAAAGGAGTGATAACACCCCCCCCCCCCCTCCTGGGAGCACCAACAAATTGCAAATGGGGAAAAGCCACTGATAGAAACTGAGCAACACAGTCCTCTAGGAATAACGGGGGACAGAACGGAGATGAAGACTGCAAAGCCAGAGCCCCAAGCTAAATCCAAAGAGTGAGGACGGCTGTCGACACACTAAACGAGGTAAAAAAAAACATAGATATCCCCTCCCGGAGGATTGGCACAAACAGCTTCAGTAGGGCAGCCAACGCCTAAGCAGCTGAACTCAGAACCCCAGCTGAAGGCCCCCACTCAATGCCTCCACATCCTCCGAAAGCCAGTCTGAGGACAGCTCCAGAAGACCGAAAAAGCACAAGACCGAAGCCAAATGACCGCGAGTTTGATAGTCATCCGCCGCCAGGGCAGCCAACAGAGGGAATCTGAGCATGTAACTGCACCAGACCCACATCACAAGAACGCATAGGGGCAAAGAGGCACTCATTGAGAGGATCTCCAGCAAACCCCCCAAAAAACACCTGCAACACCAAAGAAACCGACCACCACTCAAGGGTGCGGGTTCGACAAAACCTGCGCCAAGCTCCAAAAGAGTAAGAGGGCAATCCGCCAGCCAGAAAGACTCCGGAACCACGTACCGCACCCAATACAGGAGACGGATCCATTATAGAGGCATAAACTAGGTCTCGCAGGAGGTAAGCACCAAAGGCCTTCCAAATCTACGTCAGGGGCAGCTCTGGGGCTTCCAAATCTACGTCAGGGGCAGCTCTGGGGCTTCCAACCGGGCTCGTTGCAACAAAGAATATGTAAATTGCAATGAAGCCACTGCTTGACTTTTCAATCGAGCTCGTTGCAAGAGAATATGTAGCATGCAATGAAGCCGCTGCTTGACCCCCTAACATCTTCGGGCAAGGAATGGGTAAAGTGAATAGCAAGCTGAGAATAAATCCCACAAGACTCAGGGTCACCGACTCAACAGGCAGCATAATGGAGGCAGGACGGATGATTGTCACCACGAGGCACAGGCAACGAACAACCTTCAGCATCGCACAAGGCGAGACAGGGCACAGAAATCCATAGTACCTCCAAGCCCAACTGGGTTTTCCAGGACCCGTAAGGTACATTAGCCCTACGGGAAGCCCAAGCACTGGGGCTAGCCAAGCCTGTAAGCCCTGTCTGTTGCAGGCAAACAGACAACCAGAAGTCGCCATGAAACCTCGAGGCAGCAAAGGAGGCCTACCAACACAACCTAGGCAGGCCTAATGGACAGTTAGGCAGACTTCCTCTGCCAAAATCAAGCAAATACATTAAAAACAAAACAAAAAACCCCAAAGCAACACACAAACAAACCGGTCCCCAGAGAATTGTTGACCACAACTGTAAGCAGGCCATGCCAGCAGCAGTGCGCCCCACCCAACAAAAACCCACTCCCAAACTCTCACAAGTTGAGCCTGGCCTCGGGCCGGGCATGGGGAGAAGAACTCCCAGAACCCCATCAAGCAGGTATCAAGCAAATATCCCTACCCGGGGCAAGACAGGAAGCCCAAGACCCCCCGACATACCCCAAGGACAACAACAACAAGTGACAAAGCCCTCAAGCGGGAGTGAGACCCGAACATTCCTGGGAAGATAACCCTGAAATGCAAGGGAAGTATTTACCGAGCACCTAGGTAAGGTAGCCCTAGGCGCATGCAGCCCAGCATACAGAAAACACCTGGCCACCACTCCACACAGCTGGCAAAGCCGCAAACGCAAAAGTCAGTCAGGAAAGCGAGGCCAGAGGAAACTTGTTGACACCAGGCACATCAGTCACGAACTGGGAGGTGAGCTGCCGGCTCGCATTAACGGGCTACCCCTTTTTCCCTTTCGGGGGTGGGGGGGGGGGAGGCACTAATGAGCAGGCACGCTGGTTGGATGATGATTTGCTTGTTTATTTTTTCTCTTATCTTTTTTTTTTTTTTGGGGGGGGGGGAAGTTCTTTGTGTCTGTTCAGACATAGGTTGCAATTTTAACCAATCGGGGGTTTGTATTGCTTAACCTACCTTTCTGGGGGTATTTCCCAGTCAATGGCAGACATGACAATACTCTAAATGTAGTGTTCATATGGCCATTGCTCCCTGCACCTCTCAGAGAGGGGCCAGGTTATGGCTTGTGGTCCCTGGTAGGCATGACAACTACCGGGACTGATGACACTAAACTAATATGGCACACGTCAGTTTGGATAGCTTCAGGATGCCGACGGGGCTCCCCATAGTGTACACGCTTGCTGTGTGCCAGTAATTGTTTAATGCAATGAACTTTATAATTGGGGACCTGTACTTCCTAGGCTGTAAGAACAGCTCATATTTAGCTACTGTCAAAGCCTTTTATAACTTCATATCACATGTTTACAAGGATGCAGCAACTGTGGCTTTTCATATATCACTAAACTCCTCCACTTCACAGGAGCACTATTCTACCATACAAGTTACTTTAAAAAATATAACTGAAATAGCAATGTCAAGACACCTAAATATACTGATTACTTACAAAGTCAGAATGTACGGAGAAACTAAATAAAATGGTGCTACTCACAGCGGAGGGTTGGTAGTTGTAATGAAGGTGGAGGCAGTATGTGTTATGGAGAAGTGGAATCTCGAGGTCCGGGTGGGCCAGGAGGCCCAGTCTGTGGAGAAGCTCTTCCACTGACTGGGACATTAGGAGGCATATGTGGAGGTGGTGGTATCCCAGCCCCAACATGGCTGGTTGGAGGGGGACCAGTGGGCACAGAGTCGTGTGTCGTAGAATGAACCGGCACATAATATGGAGCAGTGCCATTGACTCCACTTTCGCTGTAGTTGCTCATAAAATACTCTTTGTTGACACAGTTGCGTAAAGCTTCGGGTATGCGGCCTATTATTGCACGACGTATTTCACTGGCGGCCATTTCTCGTAATTCATTACTCGAGGCGTCCGAATAATATGCTGCATGTGGAGTACAAATAAGATTTGGTGCATCCTTCAGTGGTCCTGTAAACAATATTAAACAGTGACATTAATTCAACAGTCTCCAAGTACTGTACTGTATTACATACTATCTAGAGGCTGAAATGAAAATCAAATGCTCATTATAAACCTCACATTGCTTTCAATCTTCTGCATACAAACTTGGAAGCATTTTCTTACACTGATGTGGACATACACACATACTAACAAGGTAAATGCATTACGCACCCAATGCCTACATCTTCGGCTGCAAGATACTGCACACTATACATAGAAAATATAGTGACTAATGCAAGTATGAAGTTCCCACCAAGCCATTGAAGGCATGGAAGAAATATAAGGAATACAATATAGATGTCAACAGGAAGGGACCAAGGAGAACCAGAGCCAAATGAGAGAGACGAAGGAATGTATCTTTGAGACCAACACAAGAGTTACACTACAAGAGCAGTACCAGCTGCAGCACAGTCAAGAGTTACACTACAAGAGCAGTACCAGCTGCAGCACAGTCAAGAGTTACACTACAAGAGCAGTACCAGCTGCAGCACAGTCAAGAGTTACACTCTTGTAAACTCCTCATACACTCTGTATGAGGGTGAAAAAACTAAAAATCACATTTTTAATCACATTCTTTATCACAAGATACAGAGAGAGGAATAAAACCCTAAAGAAAACTGACAGATGTGCGAGGAACTCTGTGAACAGCACAAGCAGACGCTGAGTAAGCCACAGACAGAACGAGTAGATGCTGGGTAAGCCACAGACAGCATGAGGGTTGATGCTGGGTAAGCCACAGACAGCATGAGGGGAATGCTGAGTAAGCCACAGACAGCATAAAGGGGGGATGCTGAATAAGCCACAGACAGCATGAGGGGGTGGTGAGTAAGTCACAGACAGCATGGGGGGATGTTCAGTAAGCCACAGACATTATAAGAGGATACAGAGTAAGCCACAGACAGTATGATACCTGCTTGATGGGGTTCTGGGAGTTCTTTTACTCCCCAAGATCGGCCCGAGGCCAGGCTTGACTTGTGAGTGTTTGGTCCACCAGGCTGTTGTTTGGAGCGGCCCGCAGGCCCTCATATCCACCACAGCCCGGTTGGTCCGGCACTCATTGAAGCAAACTATCTAGTTTTCTCTTGAAGATATCCACGGTTGTTCCAGGAATATTTCTTATGCTCGCTGGGAGGATGTTGAACAATCGCGGGCCTCTGATGTTTATACAGTGTTCTCTGATTGTGGCTATGGCACCCCTGCTCTTCACTGGTTCCATTCTGCATTTTCTTCCATATCGTTCACTCCAGTATGTTGTTATTTTACTGTGTAGATTTGGTACCTGGCCCTCCAGTATTTTCCACGTGTATATTATTTGACATCTCTCTCGTCTCCTTTCTAATGAGTACATTTGGAAAGCTTCGAGTCGATTCCAATAATTTAGGTGCTTTATCGTATCTATGTATGCCGTATATGTTCTTCGTACTCCCTCTATTTCAGCAATCTCTCTTGCTCTGAATGGGGGAGTGAGTAATGAGCAGTACTCAAGACAGGACAGCCAAAGTGATTTGAAGAGTACAACCATTGTGATGGGATCCCTGGATTTGAAAGTTCTCGTAATCCATCCTATCATTTTTCTGGTTGACGCAATATTTGCTTGGTTATGCTCCCTAAACGTTAGGTCATCAGATATCATTATTCCCAAATACTTTACATGTTGCTTTCCTATTATGGGCAAATTTGACTGTGTTTTGTACCCTGTATTATGTTTAAGTTCTCATTTTTACCGTATCTGAGAACCTGGAATTTATTGCTGTTAAACATCATGTTATTTAAACATCATGTACAGTACCTGGAATTTATCACTTTTAAACTTCATGTTATTTTCTGTTGCCCAGTCAAAAACTTTATTAATAACTGCTTGAAGTTTTTCAATGTCTTCAGCAGAAGTAATTTTCATGCTGATTATTGTATCATCTGCAAAGAACGATACAAAGCTGTGACTTGTATTTTTTTCTATATCTGATATGAGAATAAGGAAAAGCAGTGGTGCAGGGATTGTACCTTGAGGTACAGAGTTTTTAACTGCGCTTGGACTCTATTTTAAATGGTTGACTGTTACTCTGTGTTCTGTTCGACAGAAAACTGAGTATCCCGCGTCCTACTTTACCGGTTATTTCCATTGATCTCATTTTGTGTTATCATTCCATGGTCACATTTATCGATACCTTTGAGAAGTCCGTGAATACCACATCTGCATTCTGTTTTTCTTCTAATGCCTCAATGATTTTGTTGTAGTGGTCAAGTAGCTGTGAGAGGCACAATCTTATCACTCTAAATCCATGTAGGCCTGGGTTGTCGAGGTCATTGGTCTCCATGAAACTGGTGACCCGACTCCTGATCACTCTCTCAAATACTTTTATTATGTGGGCCATTAGTGCAACTGGTCTATAATTCTTTGCCAATGATTTGCTCCCTCCCTTGTGTAGAGGGGCTGTCTGCTGCTTAAGTGCATCTGGTATCTCCCTCGTGTCCAAATCTGGACCTGGAGCCGAGTGCATGGGCATGTTTTAAATTTGTGAGTGCATGGGAATGAAATAATTAAATAAAAATATCTTAGTGGAAACTCGTGCCACATAGCTTGGCAAGAGCAGACCGGCCCGGGCAAGTGCTCGGCCAAACCCTGAATCTTGCCCGACTTCCTCGCTCCATCGCGGCCACAGTATGTCACATACATGTATTTTTTCCCATGATCAGGAAATGCATTTTAGCAATACAATACTAGAAGGAAGGAAAATATTTTTTTTTTCTTGTGCACCGGGAGGCTATAGAATATTAACAGCAACACAGCCTTGGGGGTTAATAACACTGGCTCAGTTTTTACTATATTCAAGCATTTTTTTTTTTTTTTTTTTTTTTTTTTTTTGGTAGTCCTTCCTTGGCATCCTAGTTCACAGTGGAGGGTTGTAAGTAAGTGCCGCCATCTTCATGGTTCCCGTTGCTGACATACTGTATGTGAAAGAATGGTGTTCTCTGTTCTCTCAGCTAGTCTGGTACCCTATGGCTCTAACATAAGATAAAGTTAGAGAAGATTCAGAGGTATGCCACCAGACTAGAACCGAGAGGTATGAGTTTATGAGGAAAGGCTATGGTAATTAAACCTCACGCTCCTGGAAGACAGAAGAGTTAGGGGAGACTTGATCACCACCTACATAATTCTCAAGAGGAATTGACAGGGTGGACAAAAACTATTTAGCATGGGTGGAACACGAACAAGGGGACACAGGTGGGGACCGAGTACCCAAATGAGTCAGAGACATTAGAAAGAATTTTTTCAGTGTCAGAGTAGTTAACAGATGGAATGCATTAGGCAGTGATGTGGTGGAGGCTGACTCCATACACAGTTTCAAATGTAGAGCCCAGTAGGCTCAGGAACCTGTACACCAGTTGAGAGGCAGGACCAAAGAGCCAAAGCTCAACTCCCACAAGCACAACTAGGCAAGTAAACAGATGCTCGAGAGAAAGATGACAATAATCTTAAAAGCACACTATGATTAAATGGGAAATTAATATAAACTATCAAGAGGAGGTACTTACATACCTGCTTACGTATTTGGTTATTAAAAGTTAAAAAGAGCCCTCTACAATGAGGATATTGAATTATCCCTCGTCATAACATCCTGGCAGCAAGTGCCCATACAGTAACTCAATTTCTAAGCTTTGCATACACATTGGTGGTAAGGATAATTATTAAAGTTTACATTTAAAACAGCGTTACTAAACAAAACAGCATTACTATGGTAGACGTTACAGGGAAACTCCTAGCTAGAAAAATATTAACACAATACACTAAGGGGAGAGGAATTAAAAGTAAGCATGCAGACAAGATAATAATCATGGGAAACTACTTGTAAAAGTGTCAAGAAGAGGTAACTTTATAGCTACCACAACACCTGAGAATGAAAAGTTAAAAATGACCTCTACCATAGGTAAACTCCTAGAAGGAAAATATTAACACTATAGACTAAGGGAGGGTGAATGAAGAGTATGACTAGGCAATACCGTGCACTGACAACTCACGCAGCGATTTTAGGGCCAAGGAACTAAATGCTAGAGCATTACCCTGGAAGGGGTTGTACGGTTCATTCTCATGAACATCAAGCGCTGCGGCTCGGATTCTTCCTTCTTTAAGTGCAGAAGCAAGGGCATTTTCGTCTACTAATGACCCCCGTGCTGTGTTCACTAGGAATGCTCCAGGACGCATCTGCAATGTTAAGCCAACTATTTATTATACCTAACATTTGTGGACAAATACGCTTACATACATGTAATATAAAAAGTTTGAATTAATGTACAGTATAGATAAAGAAGCCAACTCATATCACTTTGTAATGTTAATACCATATTTCAGAACAATACAAATATCAATGTGCAAACATCTTAAATACGATACGTAACCAAATACAGTAAAGATATTAAGTTTATTACCTGCTTGATGGTGAAGTCATTTATAAGATGGTTGTTATGTTCATTCAGAGAACAGTGGAGCGATACACAATCACTTCGATATAAGAGATCCTATAAAGATAATACAATATAGAGAGGATTATTTGAAGAAAGTCAAACCTACACCAATTTGTAATATCCTGACTTCTTGCATCTTACTGATACTATACCTACACAATATTATTACCAGAGTTACCATGTTCATGGGGCAGGTAGGGATCAGACAGGGAAGAAAAAACAGTGATGTAAGGTAATAGATATCAAGTGATAAAACATTAAAAATAACCATTATTACTAATCTTTTCATTAAATCTATATTTCCCTGATAGTGTACTCCTATCTGATGATGCACTCCCTCCCTGATGGCGCATTTCCTTCCTGATGATGCACTCCCTCCCTGATGACGCATTTCCTTCCTGATGATGCACTCCCTCCCTGATGGCGCATTTCCTTCCTGATGATGCACTCCCTCCCTGATGACGCATTTCCTTCCTGATGATGCACTCCCTCCCTGATGACGCATTTCCTTCCTGATGATGCACTCCCTCCCTGATGGCGCATTTCCTTCCTGATGATGCACTCCCTCCCTGATGACGCATTTCCTTCCTGATGATGCACTCCCTCCCTGATGACGCATTTCCTTCCTGATGATGCACTCTCTCCCTGATGACGCATTTCCTTCCTGATAATGCACTCCCTCCCTGATGACGCATTTCCTTCCTGATAATGCACTCCCTCCCTGATGACGCATTTCCTTCCTGATGATGCACTCTCTCCCTGATGACGCATTTCCTTCCTGATAATGCACTCCCTCCGGAGTCATAAGGAAGGGAGGGAGTGCGTCACTCCCTCCCTTCCTGATGACGCACACCCTCCCTGATGATGCACTTTTAGCCAAGTCAGAGTGGTCCAGTGGTTAAGTGTCAGCGGCTGGGATTTTCTCGGTCATGGGTTTGAGTCACCTCAGGGCTCCAATTTAACCCTTAAACTGCGCAACGCGCCTGCAGGCTCACGTCTGGTTTGCGCAACGCGCCTCCGGGTATTTGTATTTTTCACGTTCCATTCAAAACTCCCGCGGCTACATGGGGTTCACATCAGCTTCCTCAGGGCTCTTGTAAACAGACGCCATCTTTAAAAAAAATCGTGGTCCACATTCCCGGGTGTGGGAGCCTCAGTAGTGTGTGAGCAACCAAGGCTGGCGCTCGCAGCATGAGCGCACAGCACTGCTGTTCAGCATGTGACCACAGCATCGCCTAATAATGTCAAAATATATATATAAATTGTATTATTTAGTGTTATATTAGAGCCTGAGTGTGATAATGACTGGGTACAATGTTCAAATATCAGTGATTCAATGCTGTTCACGATGTTCACAGCGCTAGCCACAGCACCAGAGCATTATTTCGTTCATCTAGGAATCTTCAAATGATTTCTTAGGTTCTTTTTCAAAATAAACGTGTGGTCAATTATTCATTTACAGGAATTAGTGACCAGGATTGTGATAATAGCAGGAATGTGGTTATAATTAGCGTTGTGCGTAGTATTGTGGAAGGAGGAATTTTGATGAGGGAGGGAGGGCGAGAATTGAGGTAGCCTCAATTGTGTGTGTGTGGCTGCCACTCTTGTTTTGCTCACCATACTAGCTTAGTGGTTCGCTATGGGCAACACATATGTACATGGGTATATATAGTGTGTGTATATAGTGTAAGAACAGCAACAGGAGAATGTTGAGAGGAGCTATTTTGGTGAGGGAGGTGACGTAATCGTAGCGTCGTCTGCTGTGTGATTTTTCATGCAGTGTATGGTGGCCACTGTACTGTTTGGACACAATACCGGCTTACTTGCATAGTTCTGGTAAATAAAACATGTAGATAGGTATATAGAACATGTGTAATAAGAACTATAGCAATATGGTGGGAGGAGCAATGTTGGCGAGTAAGATGTTGGAGTGAGGGAGACTGGCTGGGTGTGGCTGCTCTCACTCAAGGTGTTCTGAATGTGTTCATGGCCCATACGAGGCAGCTGCTATTGGCCCATACGACGCAGCTGCTATTGGCCCATACGAGGCAGCTGCTATTGGCCCATACGAGGCAGCTGCTATTGGCCCATACGAGGCAGCTGCTATTGGCCCATACGAGGCAGCTGCTATTGGCCCATACGAGGCAGCTGCTATTGGCCCATACGCGGCAGCTGCTATTGGCCCATACGCTGCTATTGGCCCATACGAGGCAGCTGCTATTGGCCCATGCGGGGCAGCTGCTATTGGCCCATGCGGGGCAGCTGCTATTGGCCCATGCGGGGCAGCTGCTATTGGCCCATGCGGGGCAGCTGCTATTGGCCCATGCGGGGCAGCTGCTATTGGCCCATGCGGGGCAGCTGCTATTGGCCCATGCGGGGCAGCTGCTATTGGCCCATGCGGGGCAGCTGCTATTGGCCTATACGAGGCAGCTGATATTGGCCCATACGAGGCAGCTGCTATTGGCCCATACGAAGCAGCTGCTATTGGCCCATACGAGGCAGCTGATATTGGCCCATACGAGGCAGCTGCTATTGGCCCATACGAAGCAGCTGCTACGCGGTGTTCTGAATGTGTTGATGGTGAATGTATATAGTGTGTGACAGTGTATAGTGTGTAAATAGATTGTATATATACACAAATTAGCATGATACATAGTAAATATGTGCTGCATATGTGTACACAAGTTTCATGCACGTAACACAGTGTCTACGGACAGTACGGATGTTGTACTGCGATATTATAGTGTACGTGTTCATTATACATTGGATTGGCACATAAAAACAATGAAAATGTATTTGGAAAGGTGCGCAAAAAATGAACGAAAATATATTCGCGGCAACTCGCGCGCCCCGCCCCGAGCGCCCCACCGCCCCCGAGAGCTTACGGCACGGGCGCACGGGGAATGATGACGTCACGCCCCAACTTCCGGACCCCATAGCAGCCAAAGTAAGTACAATTTCGACTTTTTTTTTGCATACCCATACTGAGGGAAGGGTTTTTGACACTTCAAAAAGAAAAAAGAATTTTTTCCAGAGAATTTATTTCCTGCGCACTGCGGGGGTGTCACATTTGGAGGCAACGCAGTTAAGGGGTTAAACAGATTTCCAGGGCTTAATACTCTTGAGTACTGCCTCTTTCCATGCCCAAGTGTCACTGTGTGTCAAGTTTGAGAGTAGTATACTATTGCTTGGTCCTTTCTTAACTTCTACATTAACATTCCATCTCTTTATTACACTAGCAACCTCTTGCACCACCTCTGCTCATTATCCCCTTATCTTATTTCATTGTACACATTCACTTTTTATTTAATACTGCTCCCAGATATTGAAAACATAATGGCTCCCAATATATCCTCTATCTCTTTTTTTTTTTAACATTTCAGGTCACTATCTAGCCACTCTTAAGAATCTACAACGCTGCATTCTCTTCTCTTCTCTTTATACTATAATCTTATTTCTTCCTACTTTCACCTTTCTTCTCTTGCAAATACTATCAAACTGATTCACAATCTTTAGTAATTCTTTTTCCTGGAACATACCTGAAGAGGGCTCTGGCAGTTCTTCTACTCCCCAAGCCTGGCTTGAGGCCAGACTCAACTTGGGATAACATGGTCCAACAAGCTGTTGCTTGGAGCAGCCCGCAGGCCCACATATCAACTACAGCCTGGTTGGTCCAGCACTTCTTGCAAGAACTTGTCTAAGTGCTTCTTGAATTCATCCACCCTTGTTCCGGCAATATTTCTAATGCTTGCTGGTAGGGTGTTGAACAGCTCTGATGTTCAGACAGTGCTTTCTGATTGTGCCTATGGCACCTCTACTCCTAACTGGTTCTATTTTTTATTTCCTTCTGTATCTTTCACTCCAGTATGTTGTTATTCTACTGTGCAAATATGGGACTTGACCTTCAAGTATCTTCCATGTACAGTATATATTATTTGATACCTTTCTCATCTTTTTTTTTTCGAAAGAGTACGTTTTGAGAGCTTTGAGACGGTCCCAATAATTTTGATGTTTTATCGTGTCTATTTATGCAGTATACGTTCTCTGCATTCCCTCTAATTCAGAGATCTCTCCTGCTCTAAAAGGGAAAGCGAGTACCAATACTCAAGATGGGACAGCACCAGTGATTTAAACAGTATTAGCATTGCTGTGAGGTCTCTGGATTTGAACGTTCTCATATTCCATCCTATCATTTTCCTGGCTGCCGCTATATTTGCTCAGTTATGTTCACTAAATGTCAGGTCTCTTGACATTATAATTGTCAGATCTTTTACATGTTGCTTTCCTTCTATGAGTAGGTCTGATTGTGTCTTGTACCCCGTGTTTCGTTTAAGTTCCTCGTTTCCACCATACCCAAGTACCATCTTCAGCATACAAACATGTCAATACCAATAACTTATTGCTATTACACTGAACTGTCACTCCAGGTGTTCTTGTTTCTATGTTTAGTAATAACCCATCCATATGTACAGTGTATCCAAGAACCAGGGAGACATTACACAACCCCGCATGCCCACCCTAACATTACAGTATATCCCTCTCCTGCTCTCTCATGTGCTCAGCTATTCATATACAGTAAATGAAATTTGCTGCTATACTGTAAATATACCCTCTCACACCTCATAGATCTTTCAATCTTCTTACAATACCTCACATTCAATGCTATAACACACATTTTTAATGCCATATTGGCAGCAAAAACCATTCTCCCCATTAATAGAAATGTTTCAAAAAAAAAACATTCTCACTGTACAAATCCCATTACCATTTTCTTATAAATAAACAGGCGATGAGTCACAATAACGTGGCTAAAGTATGATGACCAGACCACACACTAGAAGGTGAAGGGACGACGACGTTTCAGTCCGTCCTGGACCATTCTCAAGTCGAAACGTCGTCGTCCCTTCACCTCTTAGTGTGTGGTCTGGTCATCTTCTTATAAATAAGTACTGTACCACAATGACCATAGTCTAATCATCACACACTTTGTCTCCTGCTATGCCATCCGATGCACATCTTTATGGTCACCGCCACCTCAACATATCTAGTTATTAACCTATTCCAGTAGCCTCTTCCTCTAACTTACTCATTGCTTCTCTAATTTCCTCAATAGCCATTAACGTCTGTTCCACTGGTCTTCTTCCACACGCTCCATTCATTACGATACATGTTATCACCACCTATTCTTCACCCTTTGTAACTGTATTCTTTAACATTTCCATAAAATGTTTTCTTATTTCATCAAAAGTACAGTACTCACTCAAGGTTTTAACAAACTCTTTATACAAAACAGTACTGTACCTCTTTTCATTCCTAAACATTTACCATACAGTGTTTCTGCAACTGTTATATTCCATCTTTACACACACACACACATCACTGATAACTAACACATCTACACTTAGATATCATCAATAGCACCCAATCACTTCACAAAGAGCAGGTGTACAGTGACTTGGTATATACAGTACAGTACAGTATATACAATAATATTCTCTCCCTCCTTACAAACCACTTCTATCCAGCCTTGCCATGTACCATATCCCGGGTGTTGTTCACACTTACTTCCAGCTTTATCACACACTCGTCATGCCGGCTACCATCTTCCTGGTCTGGCTCCTCTCCTACCCTCAATTTCATTCAACCACAGTCTCGCCACCAGTCTACCATCAACCATTCCATCAACATGCTCAATCTCAATACGTTATCCTCAAAATTGTGATCTATTGACCTAAGAACACTCTTTGTGACATTTTCATTCCTGTTCTGTAAACTCTAATGCCATACTTGTTCTTCAGATTACACACTTCTACTGCGACTATACATAAGAGTTGGCACCACCACTCCATGCAGACCTCCAGCCACATTTAATCAAATTTTCTCTAACTACTCAGCTTTCATTTCATAGGCCAATTTCCTTCCTTTGCTGGTACAGTACTAAACTACGAAGAAATTTCTTAAACCTATGCCATGTTACTGCTAACAAATTATTATATACAGTACTCTTGACACTTCTTTTTTTTATTATTGAAATTATTATTATATTGTAATATTTTTCATAATACGTCTTTTATGATGTGGTTGAGCTAAATTTATGACCATTATATTTTATTGTAGAGAGCAGGCTGCGGGGAGAGCCTCCAGGTGACCTCAAGGTAGGCAGCCGCTCTTATATGTTGTAATTAGAATAGAGAATGACTACAGCTGTATATGTGAACTAAACTGAAGTAGAATTACTGAACAGTGTCACAGGTACAAGCTGCACATTATATCACAACAACAAAATATAAATTACAAATAAAGTCTCTAAATAACAGATGCAAAGGCAAACGTGTACAGTACTTTAGATTATGGAGAACAGTGATGAAGACAAATATTTATGAATAACAATCAGCTGATGTGTATTATTGTCATCGGAGTGCTTACTGACAGAGTACGGACGATACATTTTAATGTCACTGGAATGCAAAAGTGTTAACCAGAGTAAGTGTAACAGTTTGTCTATTACTATGGGTGTGGAAGCCACCTTCAATGTCAACGTACCTGTAATGTGTAGACTCTGGTTATTCCCAGGCTCTTTTCTATACCATCTGATAGGTAGGGGTCATAGAATGTGACATTGAACCCAAACGCCTTTGCTCTTAGTGCCACCGCAGACCCGATGCGACCTGCAACAGATGTAAGTATTACAGTACCAGTTCATGAAAAACATTGTAGCATACCCATCAAAAGTTTCACTGGCCATCAATGGAGGAAGTTCGTCAAGAGTATGTAGCCCTATGTGACATTTGTATTGCATTTACTATATACCTTAACATTAAGCATTTTACGATGCTTATGGTAAAAGCATCACCATTTTCATTGCCCTAATCCTCACTTTGAATTCCTTTACCAAGAAAAGACAGCAGAGTCATGGCATCTGAGTGGGAGATGCTGGCATGCAAATTTGGTGCAGAAAGTATTTAGACTTTTAATGACTTCATTATTTATTTATAGACAAATGTGCCTCACTTCAGACACAAACATGTTACAGTTATGTCTTGAGGAATTGTGTACAATGAGGGATGATGCTCACTTGCCATTAATGTGAATTGTTGTCAATGTAATGAAAAAAAAAGGAAATGGAATGTAATGGAAACACAAATGGAGACGTTCAATTGGCAAAGACGGAAACAAATTTTTTCAAAGACTCAGATTTGAATGAGTCTGATCCCAGCAGTTTACAAGTACAGTATTGTGTAGTATTTCACTGTTAGCCAGAATATGAATGAACTTTACTTGGCAAAACATTTTGTTCAGCAATTTTACTATTACAGTATATAACACAATTAGCATATGTATTATTGGTATTTATGTATGGGCCAAAATGTGTTCAATCAATTGCTGCAAGAAAACTCAAAATTTGATGATAAATAGCCAAAATTCTCCAAAATTTGAATTGCTTCAATATCCTCATTAGGTCTAGACTGATACAGTTCATATCTTGGAGACATTATTGTACAAAATATAAAAGGGAATATAAGTAAAGGCCCAAGAGTGAACTATGCTCAGCACTCACCAAGACCAACAATACCCAGTGTGTCGTCACGTATCCGAGCGCATCCTTGGGCTGCCTCTCGAACCTGGTTTGGATAATAATTATTTGTAAATAGAGATCTCGTAGGTTCTTTATAAAAATGGAAATCAACATTTCTTAATGGACTGAATAAGTCCAGATGAAATTTAATGATGGTGTCAAATGAAATTTCCTCAGATTAAGCACCATACTGAAAATTTATCTCGAATTAAATTTAAAAAATGTGGAAATCTTTCTTTTCAAATACTGTACCATGTTACCTTAATACCTAATAATTCCATTTGAAGGACAAACTGTGATTACAAGCCGCAAACAAAGTTTCTACACACTTTAATGTTTCACAGTTATAACTGGGAAAGGTAAAGCCTGGCAGAACTTTTGTGCGGCACGTAATCACTTTTGATCACAAGTCTATCATCACACCTCCCACACCTGCTCGGGACCCGTAAATTTCTTCCCCTCGCGAACCATGTTGGCCAACCAGTATGTGCGACGATATAGATTTAGAATCAGGCACATGGTGGTGTCTGCCACTTCTTCCACGCCATAACCAGGAACGTTGCAGACAGCGATGCCCAACTCTCCTGCCGCCTGTCAACGACATGGTATGTTTAAATAACAGAAACAATATGAAGATTAGACAAATATTAAGAGGAAGCCTGGAAGGCTCAGGATAGTCACGAAATATTGTATACCCAATGCAAGAGAGATATCAGAATTTGGGTTCTTACTTTCAAATTGAAATTGTATATAAAAATTAGATTCCAGTGCAATAGTGCACTGTGTTTTAAAAGCTTAACCCATATTATACTATAATTTATCAGAATATTTACAAGATAAATAATGGTACAGCAACTGTAGTAGAATTTGCCTAAAAAGCATCCAATTATGCAGAAATTGAAGAAATGTTAACTAGATGTAAATAGAGGTACTGTACATACAAGTACTGTACCAAAATAGTAATCCTTATATCTTTTATCCATATCTTGCCCATGAATTAATTGCACTATAATCAGAATTAAAATTAAAATTTGAAAAGTACTCTGGCCTATGAATGTTTTAGTAAACCGTGTTATTTGTAATAAATTACAACAAGCACGTCTTTTCTAAAATAAATTAAATGATAATAGACCAAACAATATTGCAGGCTTTAGATCATTGGTTAGTGCTTAAGCTGGGAATATAATCAATAAGGGAAGCAACAACAAATTATTCACTCATTTTAATGAGCACTTAAACCATTAAACTACTCAGAACGTCTGAAGGCACTCTGAGGGTTGAGCTATTTTCACTAATTAGGCTACATTTCAATGTGTTTTTAATGTTTTCATCACTCTTTGTGATTTAAAATGAAAATGGTTTTGTTTGGAAACATTTTGACATTAACATTAGCTGAACATTTATAAAAACAACAAAAATATGTCCTTAACAACTGCACCGTGAAATTGTTACCAACAACAGGTGAGCAGTGCAGGGGTTAATACCGGGACAGATCATGAAATCAATGCTCAATATTCTTTTCAGACTGATGTCAGTCGGAGAACGTGTAATAACAAAATGAAAAGCTGTATGAATCTGCTTTGTGGGTTCTGTAGAGGATAAATTAGGAATTTTAGAATGTTAGAAATGTCTTGTTTGGAATGGAGTAGGGCGGTACACAGTACAGAGTGGAATAGAATGGGGCGGTACACAGTATGGAGTGGAGTGGGATGGGGTGTACACAGTATGGAGCGGAGTGGGATGGGGGTACACAGTATGGAGTGGAGTGGGATGGGGGGTACACAGTATGGAGCAGAGTGGGATGGGGGTACACAGTATGGAGTGGGATGGGGGTACACAGTATGGAGTGGAGTGGGATGGGGGGTACACAGTACAGAGTGGAGTGGAATGGGGGGTACACAGTATGGAGTGGAGTGGGATGGGGGTACACAGTATGGAGTGGAGTGGGATGGGGGGTACACAGTATGGAGTGGAGTGGGATGGGGGGTACACAGTATGGAGTGGAGTGGGATGGGGGGTACACAGTACAGAGTGGAGTGGAATGGGGAGTACACAGTATGGAGTGGAGTGGGATGGGGGTACACAGTATGGAGTGGAGTGGGATGGGGGGTACACAGTATGGAGTGGAGTGGGATGGGGGGTACACAGTATGGAGTGGAGTGGGATGGGGGTACACAGTATGGAGTGGAGTGGGATGGTGGTACACAGTATGGAGTGGAGTGGGATGGGGGGTACACAGTATGGAGTGGAGTGGGATGGGGGGTACACAGTATGGAGTGGAGTGGGATGGGGGGTACACAGTATGGAGTGGAGTGGGATGGGGGGTACACAGTATGGAGTGGAGTGGGATGGGGGTACACAGTATGGAGTGGAGTGGGATGGGGGTACACAGTATGGGGTGGAGTGGGATGGGGGTACACAGTATGGGGTGGAGTGGGATGGGGGTACACAGTATGGAGTGGAGTGGGATGGGGGTACACAGTATGGAGTGGAGTGGGATGGGTACACAGTATGGAGTGGAGTGGGATGGGGGTACACAGTATGGGGTGGAGTGGGATGGGGGTACACAGTATGGAGTGGAGTGGGATGGGGGGTACACAGTATGGAGTGGAGTGGGATGGGGGTACACAGTATGGAATGGAGTGGAGTGGGATGGGGGTACACAGTATGGAGTGGAGTGGGATTTGGGTACACAGTATGGAGTGGAGTGGGATGGGCGGTACACAGTATGTAGTGGAGTGGGATGGGGGGTACACAGTATGGAGTGGAGTGGGATGGGGGGTACACAGTATGGAGATTGGTGGAGAGGGGGGGGGGGCAAACAGTATGGGGGTGGGGTGGTGCAGGGCACACAGTATAGGGGTGGGGTGGTGCAGGGCACACAGTATGGGGGTGGGGTGGTGCAGGACACACAGTATGGGGGTGGGGTGGTGCAGGACACACAGTATGGGGGTGGGGTGGTGCAGGGCACACAGTATGGGGGTGGGGTGGTGCAGGGCACACAGTATGGGGGTGGGGTGGTGCAGGACACACAGTATGGGGGTGGGGTGGTGCAGGACACACAGTATGGGGGTGGGGTGGTGCAGGACACACAGTATGGGGGTGGGGTGGTGCAGGGCACACAGTATGGGGGTGGGGTGGTGCAGGGCACACAGTATGGGGGTGGGGTGGTGCAGGGCACACAGTATGGGGGTTGGGTGGTGCAGGGCACACAGTATGGGGGTGGGGTGGTGCAGGGCACACAGTATGGGGTGGGGTGGGGTGGTGCAGGGCACACAGTATGGGGGTGGGGTGGGGTGGTGCAGGGCACACAGTATGGGGGTGGGGTGGTGCAGGGCACACAGTATGGGGGTGGGGTGGTGCAGGGCACACAGTATGGGGGTGGGGTGGTGCAGAGCACACAGTATGGGGGTGGGGTGGGGTGGTGCAGGGCACACAGTATGGGGGTGGGGTGGGGTGGTGCAGGGCACACAGTATGGGGGTGGGGTGGGGTGGTGCAGGGCACACAGTATGGGGGTGGGTGGTGCAGGGCACACAGTATGGGGGTGGGTGGTGCAGGGCACACAGTATGGGGGTGGGGTGGTGCAGGGCACACAGTATGGGGGTGGGGTGGTGCACGGCACACAGTATGGGGGTGGGGTGGTGCAGGGCACACAGTATGGGGGTGGGGTGGTGCAGGGCACACAGTATGGGGGTGGGGTGGTGCAGGGCACACAGTATGGGGGTGGGTGGTGCAGGGCACACAGTATGGAGGTGGGGTGGTGCAGGGCACACAGTATGGAGGTGGGGTTGGGTGGGGTGGTGCAGGGCACACATTATAACGTGAGGTTACTTTATGCCTCATCTGCCCTCTAAATCACAAATGGGAAATACTTACTCTATTTACAGTACAGTACTAAAACAAAGAAAGTAGGATGACTAAACCATACGTCACAAAAAGAGGAAACAATGTTTCAGTCCGTCCTGGACCATTATCAAGTCTTGTGATTTCCCAACTTGACAATGGTCCAGAACAGATCAAAACAACATCTTTTCTTCATTTTCCAACATGTGGGTTGATCGTCATATCTTCGGTTACATTACTGTAATGTATTTCTTACATTGAAAGTACTGTAATAGGATAAAACCCACACTTGTGTATTTGTGAATTTTCTGTAAAGATTTACACCGAGTCTTTCACACTCTCCCGAGTTCTTTGTCAGGGTCTGAGTAAGTGGGTAGGACAAGACTTACATCTCATTAATTAGTTGTTGAGATGTAAGTCTCGTCTTAACAACATACTCAGATCTTGACAAAGCACTCGGGAAAATGCGAAAGACTTGGTGTAAATCTTTACTGAAAATTCACATATACATGTGTTGGTTTTTATCCCATGTTGTTATGTCTGTGAGAAGACATTACCGTTACTTAAGGAAAGTAATCTATTCATTACTGTCACGTATTTGTTATGGTTACATGTTACGGTAAAGTGTTAGTCAAGTGCCTGATAATCCTTGGCGTGTAGTTATTTTGTTATAACACTAATTCCAAATTGGGGCAGGCAGATATTTATTGCCACATGACACACTGCCATTGTCATGGCAATATGTAGGGTTTACCCATCCTCTAAATTTCTTATAACTGTCTTCATTAGTTATAGGAAGTTGTTATTAGTTATTCCCCTAATAGCCCTGAGAGCCAGTTTGACATCCATACTGGTATTACATTTTCATTACTCCTTTATATTTTTCTTGCAATGTTCACTTCAATAGTTACCAACTTACATTTCAATGTGTTCCATATTTCCTAAATAGTGCTTATATTCAGAAGTTCAGTCCCATTTGTTACCGATGTCACGGTGCATCTTATCAGAGTTTGCCGCTCTGTAATTCCGAATTACCACGATTGTCTTTGCTATCAGAACCCCTGATCTAACATAAATGAATTTGGCCTCTATCATTAGAACCATATCTAAAATACTGTATTGTCATCCTGTGTTGGGGCTGTGATGATTCAAGTACAATAATTTATTATCAAGCAGTTCAATTAATCAACCCACTTCCTTGTCCACACTAAAGCAGTCTTAGTTATTATTCATTATTGGGTTATTAACTTGCCAATAATACCATTGTTTAAATGTAAACCAGCCGAATTAATTTCACCATAAAAAACAGAATCATGCTCCTAGCTACGTTTTGGAGGTCTATACGCGACACCGGACTTTCTTTCCTTTATTTTTAGTGAATCTCGACAAAGTATATTGTTGTACATTGGTAGTGTTTACTTTTTAGTTCAAGGCATCAAAGCTTTTCCGGAGGATGGTTTTCCACTGAATTAATCCATGTCTCATTCAGACACTCACAGAAGATAATTCAGAAATCGATTCGTCTCATCTTAGCTTCAGATATTTCTTCAAAATACCCTAATGTTAGCCACTGTACAAGTGCCTAACTATATGCTGGCCACTGTGCAAGTGCCTAACTATATGTTAGCCACTGTACAAGTGCCTAACTATATGTTAGCCACTGTGCAAGTGCCTAACTATATGCTGGCCACTGTGCAAGTGCCTAACTATATGTTAGCCACTGTGCAAGTGCCTAACTATATGTTGGCCACTGTGTAAGTGCCTAACTATATGTTAGCCACTGTGCAAGTGCTTAACTATATGCTGGCCACTGTGCAAGTGCCTAACTATATGTTAGCCACTGTGCAAGTGCCTAACTATATGTTAGCCACTGTGCAAGTGCCTAACTATATGTAAGCCACTGTGCAAGTGCCTAACTATATGCTGGCCACTGTGCAAGTGCCTAACTATATGCTGGCCACTGTGCAAGTGCCTAACTATATGCTGGCCACTGTGCAAGTGCCTAACTATATGTAAGCCACTGTGCAAGTGCCTAACTATATGTTGGCCACTGTGCAAGTGCCTAACTATATGTTGGCCACTGTGCAAGTGCCTAACTATATGTTAGCCACTGTGCAAGTGCCTAACTATATGTTAGCCACTGTGCAAGTGCCTAACTATATGTTGGCCACTGTGCAAGTGCCTAACTATATGTTAGCCACTGTGCAAGTGCCTAACTATATGTTGGCCACTGTGCAAGTGCCTAACTATATGTTGGCCACTGTGCAAGTGCCTAACTATATGTTAGCCACTGTGCAAGTGCCTAACTATATGTTAGCCACTGTGCAAGTGCCTAACTATATGTTGGCCACTGTGCAAGTGCCTAACTATATGTTAGCCACTGTGCAAGTGCCTAACTATATGTTAGCCACTGTGCAAGTGCCTAACTATACATTTTGTTATTTATTAAATAAAAGCTCCCAAGTCCACTTTCTCCATATTTTTGTTCATGTTACCATATTGTATTTGGTTTTTTGACACAAAAATTAAATTTTTATTTATATCTTAAATGAACAAAAAAACAGAAAGACCTAATTGCTACACACTTGCCATCAGTTTTAGAAAATAGTGCAAGGTAAAATTCAAATAATTTATTATTTCGTCAATACTACTTAGATAGCTGAAGACAGACCCCCTAGGCTGACTGACATTGAAGTGTACAGGCATAAGTTTGGCATATTTCTTCCTTTATAGAAGAAGCACTGAATATTTCTCAACATGCAATTCTTCAAGCATTATAAAATAAATAATCCCTTCAAAGAAAAGAAACAGTTAAGGAATATTGCATTTATATAACTTTTCACCATATCTAGTATACTGTATATAAGTACAATATCTTCCACTAAATAATTTAAGATCATATGTTGTAAAAACATTTTCTGAAAGAGCATTGCAAATACAGATTACACCACTAGATAGAAAACAATCCCTAGGCTCAGATGCCCCTTGAGGTTATCTTGAGATGATTTCGGGGCTTTTTTTTTTTTTAGTGTCCCCACGGCCCGGTCCTCAACCAGGCCTCCACCCCCAGGAAGCAGCCCGTGACAGCTGACTAACACCCAGGTACCTATTTTACTGCTAGGTAACAGGGACATAGGGTGAAAAACTCTGCCCATTGTTTCTCGCCGGCGCACGGGATCGAACCCAGGACCACAGGATCACAAGTCCAGTGTGCTGTCTGCTCAGCCGACCGGCTCCCTGAAGGCACAAACTGTATGGCCAAGTTACTGATGGCTGTGTATGTGTTAAGAATACATGCAGCAGTGCGGCTCATCTGGCAGCCACCAGAAAAAGCCACAAAAACTGGCCACAGGCAATCCATTACTTAATGGTTTGTTTTGATACTTCAACTTTTCTATCCCTTAATCGAGTGGTGTTCTTTTCACTTTTATATACATACCAAACCAGTTCTTTTCAATAAAACAAGTGAGAAAAAGAAACAAAGATAAAGTAAAGGTGAACAGAGAGGAAAGCATTATCATAAAATAGGCGCCAATGTAGGCAATAACCATTACAGTGAAACCACTTTATATAGAGGGATTTCTATATTATTATAATGGGCAACAAAAACAAAGTAGGAAAGTTAAACAATCAACCACGACAAGAAGAGCAATATTGCTCAACCATTTGCGCCAAGTCCTGCTAATTACAAGCCCACACATTCACGCTCAACACTATCACCAACTTCTCTCCTTTGTCCAGACCTCATCAAACTCTGAAAAGAACTCTGGAAAAACTTAACTGGGAAGCCAATCATGAGAGAATAATTCTAACTATCCCAAAACTCTGTTATTGGAAGACTGCAGCAATCAACTTAGAGACTTATCAACTTGGAAAGAAAAGTTTTTAACTTCAGGAAGCTTTCTGCCAAACTTCCGTCAAATGACTAAAACTCCACGACAACTCGGCCTCGGCTTCACATACTGGAGTTGGAAACGACCAGGAACATCTCTCTATTAAATAGTTTCTCGGAAGAAGGACGGCCTGAACCATGATACCTCGGAAAATGAACCCTAACTTACTCTTCTATCTTGAGAATAATCTTATCAATGTCTTCCAAAATGTGCCAACTTTAATCAAGCCGAGAAATTTTTTGAGTTAACTACGAGTCTAACTTTCAGCTTTTTGTTAGCTGTGAAACAAGTTTTATAACTCTCCAAACTTGAGACATTAAAACTTTTAGCACAAGTTGTGCAAGTTTATGGTGGAAAATTGAGACGCCTTAATAAGCACTAGATGGTCATCGTGATCTAAACCTTTGTGCATATAACATGCACACCCAAATAACAGAGCACTGGCCTATATAACATGTAAAGCATAGGCCTATATGACAAATTATACTCCATACACAATTTCAAATATAGATATGATAAGAGCTTGAGAAGCTCAGAAACCTGTACATCAGTAGATTAACAGTCGAGAGGCGGGACCAAAGAGCCACAGTACAACCCCCGCAAGGACAACTAGGTGGAACCAAAGAGCCGCAGTTCAACCCCCCACAAGGACAACTAGGCGAGTACACACACACACACACACACACACACACACACACACACACACACACACACACACACACACACACACACCTGTGCTTCACCCAGATGGTGTGTATCACAATATAACTACAGAAGAGGAAAAATAGCTGGTGTGGGACGACACATGTGTATCCACCCTGGATGACACCTACATATCATATACTTCAGTGCTGAACAGGCAGTTGTGGCCAACCACAGAGGAAGTGGTAACATCAAAATAGTATATCTGGAACTGGAAGGTCAGTACATCTTTGTGTCCATAGCATTCAAGATGCTCAGTCACTGGGCTAGGGGCGCCTTGAGCTTTCGCAAAGAATTGAATTCTAGGCTCAGTGACATTATTGGAGACCCAAGAGGAGCTTGTATCTTGTTTCAGCACCTCAGTATGGCGATCCAGAGAGGAAACGCTTGCTGCGTCCTCAGTTTCTGTCCGGAAGTGGAGGAGCTCCAAGAGATCCATAACTTTTAAACCCTATTGTATTAACTAAGGTGCATCTTGTAACCTTTAAATATCTAATAAAGCACAACAAAAGACAAAAGGAAGGGGGTGGTAGGAGAAAAGCACACAGAAATTGTATTGGAGGGGACCTAAACATTCCCTCTAATGTGTTATGTGTGAGTTCCTCCGAGGCTAAGGGTCCCCTTCTTCCAGCCAGAGGTGGTACTCCCTCCCTATTTATATAAATATATTATATTATACTGTATATACAGTATATGTACTTAAAGGTTATATGATGTACATTTGTTTATACAACAGGGTTTATTATATTATATATACATCGTGTACATCGTATACAGTACTTATATATACAGTATAATATACATATACATTATATATATTATATATATATATATATATATTATTATTATTAGCCAGTACAAAGGAAGTTGCCCTAGTCGGCAGTAATGAGTTAATACAAGCCAGCATTAATGAGTTAATACTAGCCAGCATTAATGAGGTTATACTAGCCAGCATTACTGAGGTTATACTAGCCAGCATTACTGAGGTTATACTAGCCAGCATTACTGAGGTTATACTAGCCAGCATTACTGAGGTTATACTAGCCAGCATTAATGAGGTTATACTAGCCAGCATTAATGAGGTTATACTAGCCAGCATTACTGAGGTTATACTAGCCAGCATTAATGAGGTTATACTAGCCAGCATTAATGAGGTTATACTAGCCAGCATTAATGAGTTAATACTAGCCAGCATTAATGAGGTTATACATGCCTGTAATAATGAGGCTACATTAGTCAACAGTAACAATGTTGTACATACTAGCCAGTACGAGCTAGAAAATGAAACTAATCTGATCTTACTTGGTTGGCAAGTCAGGAGACGTCCACGCCTGACCCGGACTATCATATTACTGTACTGGAATGTATACTTAACCAAAACTGTTGTAGAAATGTATACTTACACTCTTCTAATGTTGTCATCTCATCTGGACCTTTCACGAACAAACTACACACACTATGAAATAAACTTAGCTGGACATGCCTTAACTTTAATAATTCACTGTAAGAAACTACACTTATAATGACCCAATCACCGATCATTCCCAGACAATACAACACGTCCTGTACGTGTGTTCACTGTGACACGCACCTTAACATCTACATTGTCAATTCCACTGCCAATTCGAACAATGACTTTGAGGGCCTTGAATTTTTCGAGATCTTCTTTTGTAAGTGTTATGGTGTGCCACATTAGCGCCCCTACTGCTTCATTTAATACCTGGCAGGAGAAGAGCAGCAATTAATAATTAACTAATTGAAACAAATTTTAATTTAATAATACAGTATAGTAGTTTAAAATAATATTGCAAGCAACTACTACTGTATTTTCAAATTTGCCAAATTGTAAATAATGCATTTATACTGTACAGCACTTAATTATAGCAATGGATAACCTAATTAATTTCAGTACCTGGCAACTGGCCTCAATTTCAATATAATGTATCAATTAACTCTTATTCAACTTACTTTTTCGTGGATTTCTGAGGTGGATTGTGCATCACAAAATGCAACGGTTGCCACATCCTTCAAGATGGGCATCTCTATGGCACAGTCCCTGCCATCGAGGAGGGCCACAAGGGGTCGCGCGTGCATTCCGGGGCCATTGGGAATAGGTGGACGAATAGTGTCTAGCCTCGGCCGCTTGTTGCTGGCTAACATGGCTGCAGGAACTGTCTGTGGTACTGGGAACTGACGCTCAGCCCCGACTAACCCCGGGGGCTTGTCCATGCACCCAGACCAAGCTCACACTGCTGTCAAATATGAAGCCAATTTACATGTGCATGCTTAAACAAAAATATACATGAGAAATTAAAACAACAACAAAGGTATCCTGATCTGAAATACCTAGTGAATATGACAAATATGAAATGTCCCTACAGAGGACGTGTAACAACATATCTCCTAACATCTCTCTCATTCCAGCATATAAAGAGTTTTAAGACTCTGTAGGGGTACGGGTGGAGGGAGGGCCTGCTTAACTATCAGCATCTACAGGTAGCGAGATCTATCCTTTACAGCCATACTGCTTACCAAATTGTACCTGGAGTGTTAAAACAACTTGGAATTTTATCAAGTCTGCTTTTGAAGCTGTGGAGGTTATCTTTAGGTTATCTTGAGATGATTTCGGGGCCTTTAGTGTCCCCGCGGCCCGGTCCTCGACCAGGCCTCCACCCCCAGGAAGCAGCCCGTGACAGCTGACTAACACCCAGGTACCTATTTTACTGCTAGGTAACAGGGGCATAGGGTGAAAGAAACTCTGCCCATTGTTTCTCGCCGGCGCCTGGGATCGAACCCAGGACCACAAGTCCAGCGTGCTGTCCGCTCGGCTGACCGGCTCCCAAATGCCTTCTTGCCTTATTCATGAAGGCAAGAAGGCTTCCTTCTTCTAAATGCCTTCTTCAACAATTTTTTATACAGTGTCAGGATAATGATTTGCTTCTAATGGCCCAACAATTTTGTTTCTGGGATCAAGTACTGTACTGTAGTTGTGAAAGATAAGATCTTCCTGTGCTGCCCTGTCACCTTGAGCTGTATAGTTTTTTTTTACCAGAAAACTGATAAGTTGACTTTTTAGCACCCTCACGAAAGCTTTGATATGTGGTGCTGCCAGTGTGAGCAGTAGGTACGTGGTGCTGCCAGTGTGAGCAGTAGGTACGTGGTGCTGCCAGTGTGAGCAGTAGGTACGTGGTGCTGCCAGTGTGAGCAGTAGGTACGTGGTGCTGCCAGTGTGAGCAGTAGGTACGTGGTGCTGCCAGTGTGAGCAGTAGGTACGTGGTGCTGCCAGTGTGAGCAGTAGGTATGTGATACAGAGTGAGGCTTGTTTTCATTTGTATTCCTCACATGTGCCCCAAAGAATGGGGTGATTTGATAAAATACAGTATTATTATTTGGATATTATCGATAATATTATATGCGATAATATCCAAAGCTGACACTGCATGGATTTGGTTCATAAAAAGTTATCATGATCTACTTTCAGTGTCCATGACATTGCTAAGCAGGGCTTCAGAAAAAAAAAAAAGTTCACCACTGATGAATTATTGCCGCAATATTTTATTTGCTCTTTGCAAATGTAAAGATATATAATTGTACTGTACTGCATTTAGTTTTCTTGGGTGGCTTTCAGGTCTTGTTCGTAATTCTTCAGTCTGGTATGAGCGTTTTGGTTCTACTGTATTTTTGATTTCTCAAGTACGATATTGTATTTCTGTAACCATTCTTCTTCTGTACAGTTAGTGGTCTGTGTTCTTTTTCTGTTAGACCTTTTTCTTGTGTTTCTCAGCAACTGAATTTAGTGTGGATTTTTTATGCCACTACCATTAATGGCTCTTTACACTGCGTTCAGCTTTGAGGACCCGGGGCAGTTTCCCCCGGCGACTGCTGGATAATTCATGGTTTACTTTGGTCCAGTTAACTGTTGAAGTAACATGCAATTTTTTGGCAAAATTTGGAATTTAGGCAAAATTAACAGTCCATACTTTAAATGACAAATAACAATATGTTACATTGGGTTAGGTAGGTTGTGTTATGTAGGTTATGGGCTATGTTAGGTATGGGTAGTTAGGGTAAGGTAGGTTATGCTTGAATAGGTGACATTTGGGTGGGTTAGGGTAGGGAAGGTTACATTACTTCAGGCTAGATTAGGGAAGGCTACATTACTTTAGGGTAAGCTAAGAAAAGCTATGTTAAAAGCTACATTACTTTAGAGCAGGTTAGGGAAGGCTACATTACTTTAGGGTAAGCTAAGAAAAGCTATGTTAAAAGCTACATTACTTTAGAGCAGGTTAGGGAAGGCTACATTACTTTAGGGTAAGCTAAGAAAAGCTATGTTAAAAGCTACATTACTTTAGGGCAGGTTAGGAAAGGCTACACTACTTTAGGGTAAGCTAAGAAAAGCTATGTTAAAAGCTACATTACTTTAGAGCAGGTTAGGGAAGGCTACATTACCTAAGGGCAAATAAGGGAAGGCCATGTTATGTTAGGGCAGGCTAGGAAAGGCCACATTACTTCAGGGCAAGTTAAGGACGCCTACACTACCTCAGGGGTTGGTGACAGAGTAGGCCGAGAGCCATCACCCTGTGTGACTGGTGATCACTCAAGCACTCGAGGGACCAAGACTACACTTGAGTAATAGATCAAGTAATAGATTGAGTAATAGATCAAGTAATAGATCAAGAGCTCACCTGAATCTTGGAGGTGTTTAAGGCCAGCAGAAGCCAAGGGGAGTGAGATCAATCCTCACTTCAATTCTCCAGCTTCACCTGATGCAAACAAATCCAATTAATCAATTAAAACTACAGTATAATATAAATCTTCAATCAACAATAATCAATGTACAATATTCAATTAATCATTCTTCAATATTAAATCTACAACATAAATTGATTTGCAAAGGAAAGGCAAGTTATCCTAACTATTAATGGTTAAAATATATTTATAAAGACAATTTACGAGGAAAATCTGACTATAATTTATATAATCTCTATCCATATAGGCATCACTCCTCTCTAACACCCTGCTGTGCAATGCAAGATATCAAGATTCAAAAAGTATTATATGCAATAATATATATATTAAAAAAGGAAGTAAATACTAGTCAATATTTGCCATTAAGAAACGGTAAGACTTATTAAGGAAGACTTACCTACACTTGGAGGAGTCTGTTATATCGTTCATCTTAAAACGCCAACTTGCAACCTGCAACATGAAAAATATGATTTATTATATACCCCCTCAGTCACAAAATGTACAAAAATAAGTATTCAGTGTACAGGGTCAACCCATAATAACTGTACACCTTTGATTTTGATTTGTTTAATCCGTGGCCACGTCCGAAACGCTTTGCGTAATAGTGGCTTTAGGCATTGTATGTACTAGCTCTACCTATAAGTCAAACAATCCTTGTAAAAATTTATTGTATGTATGTACCTTACCTAAATAAAATTGTATTGTATTGTATTGTGTGGACGCGTCCCCTTGTGAATAATCACAAGTGAATCTAATCATCAGACCTAGGTTAACATTTACATACTGTACATAAATAACCTAGCCTGAAGTAGTGTAACCTTCCCTACCCTAACCTACCCAAATAAAAATAAATAAAATAAAATGTTTATTTAGGTAAGGTACATACATACAATAAATTTTTACAAAGATTGGTTGACTTATAGGTAGAGCTAGTACATACAATGCCTAAAGCCACTATTACGCAAAGCGTTTCGGGCATGTTACCCATTCATAAATGTTACCCATTCAAACATGTATAATCATACATAGATATTTCACCCTTCCGCTTGGTAAGGGGTCGAGGCTGGGCGGCACGGCGGGTGTGTGACCCTGGGCAGTGGGGCTCTCACCTCTTGCCACTATTCCCTGAGTCTAGTAGGGCTGCCACTCTCATACAGACGTCTCCAAGACGACTACAAGATGTCCGCACCAATATGTTCCCCTCCCGACGACCCAGCTACTGTGTGGAGAGAGAGAGAGAGATGGATGCTGCTGCTGCTGAAGATTCACCCGGCCGACGAAGGCGCCTGACCCGGAGTGTTCACCTCACCACCAACCTTCACCCTCGGGGGTACTACAAGGTAAGTACCCACTACCACCTCTCTCTCTCACTCTCTCTCACTTCTCCGGAAGTTATGCCCAACCACTTGGACGGTAGAGCGACGGTCTTGCTTCTTGCAGGTCTGCGTTTAATCCCCGAGACCGTCCACAAGTGGTTGGGCACCATTCCTTTCCCCCGTCCCTTCCCAAATCCTTTTATTTGTCGATTTATTTGCTCCCAGTTAAACTGTTTATTATTAAATCTCAATTTGCTGGATTCTCCTCCTCTGGGATTCGGGACTGGTTTGTGCAGGTCTACTGCCCATGCTTGTTAGAACTTCAATGAAGTTGTGAATCTGAGTAACAGATATTTGTAATCATTATGTTCCTGATTAATTCATTGTTATTAGTGAAACCGAGGTCCAGCGTGTTCTCCTTTACTAGTTGGTTCTACTATTTGTTGGTTTAAGACAAATCTGTCGCATATCCGTAGCAGGTCATTTCCATGTGCCTGTTCATTTAGGCTACTTCCTGCTTGATGGGGGTTCCACTCCCCAAGCCCGGCCCGAGGCCAGGCTTGACTTTCCTGGTATTCTCTCTGATATAACTATATTAGCTCGGTTCTTCCATATTAGGTGCCGTAGGTTGAAGTCCCCCAAGCGAGTCATAACCACAGTACAATAATCTATTTGAGAATGGTCCAGGACGGACCGACCGAAACGTCGTCGTCCCTTCACTTTCTAGTGTGTGGTCTGGTCAACATACTTCATACTTCTTTACTTGTGTGAAGGAGGAAATGTATGTTTATCTCTCAGAATGTTTGGTAATATGTTTATTGTTTGTGATGTGTGTATACGTATGTATTAACACGATGTACTGAACGGGGTGAGAATAGCTTGAGCTACCTCATCCCTTTGTGTGTATTTTATCTCAATAAACTTATTTCAATTTCATACTTCTTCAGCCACGTTATTGTGACTCATCGCCTCCACAGTACAATAAAGCCTCAAGATAACCTAATATCTAAACGCTTTAATAAGTTTAACCACAAAACATAATTTTGTATTTATTTCATTTATGACAATAAATGGTAGGCTGCATAAAATGTTTTATCAAGAATTGTATGAACATATATTTAAAACCTGACTGAACTGATAAGATTCTCTCCATTATAAACAAGTCACATCCGTCACTGACGCCAAATACTAAAATCCAAAACAGGAAACAGTTTGTTTTATTGAAACTGAAAGCCATTCACAAGCGTCCAGTTATGCCAAGCGTGTGACGTGAGCGGCGTGACATGGCATCACTGTGTATGTGTGTCAGATATACCTCTGGCAACACTAGGGTGTATATATACCTCTGGCAACACTAGGGTGTATATATACCTCTCGCAACACAAGGGTGTATATATACCTCTGGCAACACTAGGGTGTATATATACCTCTCGCAACACTAGGGTGTATATATACCTCTGGCAACACTAGGGTGTATATATACCTCTCGCAACACTAGGGTGTATATATACCTCTGGCAACACTAGGGTGTATATATACCTCTGGCAACACTAGGGTGTATATATACCTCTGGCAACACTAGGGTGTATATATACCTCTCGCAACACAAGGGTGTATATATACCTCTGGCAACACTAGGGTGTATATATACCTCTCGCAACACAAGCGTGTATATATACCTCTCGCAACACAAGCGTGTATATATACCTCTCGCAACACAAGCGTGTATATATACCTCTCACAACACAAGGGTGTATATATACCTCTGGCAACACAAGCGTGTATATATACCTCTGGCAACACTAGGGTGTATATATACCTCTGGCAACACAAGGGTGTATATATACCTCTGGCAACACAAGCGTGTATATATACCTCTGGCAACACAAGGGTGTATATATACCTCTGGCAACACAAGCGTGTATATATACCTCTGGCAACACTAGGGTGTATATATACCTCTGGCAACACAAGGGTGTATATATACCTCTGGCAACACAAGCGTGTATATATACCTCTCGCAACACAAGGGTGTATATATACCTCTGGCAACACAAGGGTGTATATATACCTCTGGCAACACAAGGGTGTATATATACCTCTGGCAACACAAGCGTGTATATATACCTCTCGCAACACAAGGGTGTATATATACCTCTGGCAACACAAGGGTGTATATATACCTCTGGCAACACAAGGGTGTATATATACCTCTCGCAACACAAGCGTGTATATATACCTCTCGCAACACAAGCGTGTATATATACCTCTCGCAACACAAGCGTGTATATATACCTCTGGCAACACAAGGGTGTATATATACCTCTCGCAACACAAGCGTGTATATATACCTCTGGCAACACAAGCGTGTATATATACCTCTGGCAACACAAGCGTGTATATATACCTCTCGCAACACAAGGGTGTATATATACCTCTCGCAACACAAGCGTGTATATATACCTCTCGCAACACAAGGGTGTATATATACCTCTGGCAACACTAGGGTGTATATATACCTCTTGCAACACTAGGGTGTATATATACCTCTGGCAACACTAGGGTGTATATATACCTCTGGCAACACTAGGGTGTATATATACCTCTGGCAACACTAGGGTGTATATATACCTCTGGCAACACTAGGGTGTATATATACCTCTGGCAACACTAGGGTGTATATATACCTCTGGCAACACTAGGGTGTATATATACCTCTGGCAACACTAGGGTGTATATATACCTCTGGCAACACAAGGGCCATAAGGTGACCTCTCCGTGGAAACCCCCACAAACTTTATCATCATCATCAGGGAGGTTTAGTCAATAAGATTTGTCAAGTTACAAACAACTTGGCTGTGATCTAGCAATGTTATCATTTATCTCGGTTGCAGAAACGAAGCCCCATAAGAACCAGCGTTATGGATGTCTCTATTTCTCAAAGGGATTACTTTGTTTCACTGCAAGAGAGAGAGAGACTATCTAAGACTATTTTAGGTAATAAAAAGTGAAAGTTGTGTAAGCCTAGCTGGAGCAGCCTGTCGAGACCGCCCCCCCCCCCCCCCCACGAACAACTCCAAAACAAAACTTTTCTGTCAAAACTGATAGCGCCAAGTTCTGTCACACAACTTTTCCTATTAAAACTTCACTTCTCCTTGCCACTCCCTCCTCTCCAGCCCCCTCCCTCCCTCCGTCTCCATCGCGCCTCTCCTCTCATCAACCTCCCTCCCCCCCCTACCCATCCTTTAGGCCGTAGGCTATAGGCATCTTCAATACCCGCCAGTACCACCACTTACTCTCCAGACAAGGAGCGTGCAGGAACCTTGGAGAGTGCAATACATAAAGCCGTGCTGCAACACACCGCCATCCACAATGACGTTCTGTAAGACACCGCCGACCATACAACCAAATACCGCCAACCATGACCAAGACACTTCAAGAGCTCCAGGAGCCTTGGTTGAGGGTAACCAAGGCTCTCTCCTCAAACAATTCCAACAGGAAAACACCCCCTCCCACAAGACACCATTTACCCAACAATATTCTACTAAGGAAGAGCAAAGTATACATGTATGGGGAATATCTGTTAACACCTCCAAAAGATACTCGATACTAAACATGTTGTTGTTTTACATTTAGCTACTCAGAACCAAGTGTCCATGTAGCCCGGGCTATGGTGAGCCCGTAATTGAGTTCCGTTATTCGCGATAACCTTGTTATTGTGATAAAATAACTCTGGTTTCCCTTCAAAACGCATAAATCTTTCGATACTCGAGAACGGGGTGGTAATTTATTTATATATATATATATGCAAGGTGGTAAGCAAGGGGCGTTTAACAGTTGACCATGCCACTACAGGAGACCAACTGTCCTTACAATACTTCGCCTCAAGGTACAAATATCCACATATTTTGAAATACTTCAGAATAATCTAATAAACATTTATCAGCCACCAACTCCTACAGAACAAGCATAGCTTAGCTTCCAAACACATATACTTGCTTTTACGACTCGCTGTCGTTCCCATCTATACAGCTGTCGTTCCCATCTATACAGCTGACGTTCCCATCTATACAGCTGTCGTTCCCATCTATACAGCTGTCGTTCCCATCTATACAGCTGTCGTTCCCATCTATACAGCTGACGTTCCCATCTATACAGCTGTCGTTCCCATCTATACAGCTGACGTTCCCATCTATACAGCTGTCGTTCCCATCTATACAGCTGTCGTTCCCATCTATACAGCTGTCGTTCCCATCTATACAGCTGACGTTCCCATCTATACAGCTGTCGTTCCCATCTATACAGCTGTCGTTCCCATCTATACAGCTGACGTTCCCATCTATACAGCTGACGTTCCCATCTATACAGCTGTCGTTCCCATCTATACAGCTGACGTTCCCATCTATACAGCTGACGTTCCCATCTATACAGCTGTCGTTCCCATCTATACAGCTGACGTTCCCATCTATACAGCTGACGTTCCCATCTATACAGCTGACGTTCCCATCTATACAGCTGTCGTTCCCATCTATACAGCTGACGTTCCCATCTATACAGCTGTCGTTCCCATCTATACAGCTGTCGTTCCCATCTATACAGCTGACGTTCCCATCTATACAGCTGTCGTTCCCATCTATACAGCTGTCGTTCCCATCTATACAGCTGACGTTCCCATCTATACAGCTGACGTTCCCATCTATACAGCTGTCGTTCCCATCTATACAGCTGACGTTCCCATCTATACAGCTGTCGTTCCCATCTACACAGCTGTCGTTCCCATCTATACAGCTGTCGTTCCCATCTATACAGCTGTCGTTCCCATCTACACAGCTGACGTTCCCATCTATACAGCTGTCGTTCCCATCTACACAGCTGTCGTTCCCATCTATACAGCTGTCGTTCCCATCTATACAGCTGTCGTTCCCATCTATACAGCTGTCGTTCCCATCTATACAGCTGTCGTCCGCCCGTACTACTCCCCCTTTCCACACACAAAATAACAATCCAAAGAAAAACTGAACACTGTCACCATCACCTTAAATTGAAACCGTCTTGTCATTGCCACACTTTGTTAAGATGGCTGTCAAGACCCCATATACATCATAATTAATACGAAAATACATCATACAATTGTATAATAATACGTCCATCTTAGACGGCCACCCACATCTCTTAGGAACTTTAGTCAATAGTATTATTTAATACATTTTCTCACAATATTCTAAAAACCGTTTTCTTTAGGCTATATTATTATTATTATGCTATTTTCTCTAAAGGTCATATGTTAGTAAACATATAATTTCTTTTAAAACGATATCTATAATTATTATATTTTTGTACTACAGTTTTTGATTAATGATAATTTTTAACACCATTTTAAAAGCGGTTTGAATTTCGCGCTTCCTAGAAGTTTGTCAGGAGATGCCTGCCCTCTCAACCAATGGGGATGCCTGCCCTCTCAACCAACTGGAACTAGTAGGTCCATTGTTCATCACAATAAAATGTGTGAAGTAAAACATGTGTATGGGGCAAGTAACAAAGTCAGTAGACTAACAGATGTTGTCACAGCTCGTATAAGACTTGGCTACAAGTATCTCTGGCAGTTCGGCTTGTATAGGGATCTAGATGAAGTAAAGTGTAAAGTGTGTGGACATAGGCAGGGACACACACTCGAACACTATATCTTGGATTGTTGTAAAATTGAGCCTTTTAGAGATAAATCTAAGCTCACGCTGTATGATATGGCAACCTATCTTATTACCATGGATAAATTACCTGAAATCCTTGCACTGTACCCACATTTTGCTTCCAGTAGATGAACGACATGAGATTCAGAAACAAGTAGTGTATTGTGAGGACTAATAATAAACAGAAGCTTCCCTATGACTCTGTAATATCCCCATTGGCCAAACTATTATGTATTAACGACAAGACCTACCATTAATGTATGATGACTTACTGTAAATATGTAGCTCTTGTAATAGCACTTTCTCTGTAACTAGCTGACATTGTATCTATAAGGTGTGAAGGATTGAAGAAATTGTTTATGTAATAATCTAAGATGAGGTCTGATAAAGACCTTTTGTGCCCTCTGTAATGCTTTTGCGCTACCGCTCACAGGATGAGTATGGGGTGCACAATAAACTAGCCGCCTTCGGCGGCAACAAACAAAAACAAATCAACCAATGGGGATGCCTGCCCTCTCAACCAATGGGGATGCCTGCCCTCTCAACCAATGGGGATGCCTGCCCTCTCAACCAATGGGGATGCCTGCCCTCTCAACCAATGGGGATGCCTGCCCTCTCAACCAATGGGGATGCCTGCCCTCTCAACCAATGGGGATGCCTGCCCTCTCAACCAATGGGGATGCCTGCCCTCTCAACCAATGGGGATGCCTGCCCTCTCAACCAATGGGGATGCCTGCCCTCTCAACCAATGGGGATGCCTGCCCTCTCAACCAATGGGGATGCCTGCCCTCTCAACCAATGGGGATGCCTGCCCTCTCAACCAATGGGGATGCCTGCCCTCTCAACCAATGGGGATGCCTGCCCTCTCAACCAATGGGGATGCCTGCCCTCTCAACCAATGGGGATGCCTGCCCTCTCAACCAATGGGGATGCCTGCCCTCTCAACCAATGGGGATGCCTGCCCTCTCAACCAATGGGGATGCCTGCCCTCTCAACCAATGGGGATGCCTGCCCTCTCAACCAAGGGAGATGCCTGCCCTCTCAACCAAGGGAGATGCCTGCCCTCTCAACCAATGGAGATGCCTGCCCTCTCAACCAATGGGGATGCCTGCCCTCTCAACCAATGGAGATGCCTGCCCTCTCAACCAATGGGGATGCCTGCCCTCTCAACCAATGGGGATGCCTGCCCTCTCAACCAATGGGGATGCCTGCCCTCTCAACCAATGGGCCTGCCCTCTCAACCAATGATGCCTGCCCTCTCAACCAATGGGGATGCCTGCCCTCTCAACCAATGGGGATGCCTGCCCTCTCAACCAATGGGGATGCCTGCCCTCTCAACCAATGGGGATGCCTGCCCTCTCAACCAATGGGGATGCCTGCCCTCTCAACCAATGGGGATGCCTGCCCTCTCAACCAATGGGGATGCCTGCCCTCTCAACCAATGGGGATGCCTGACCTCTCAACCCTTGGGGAGGCCTGCCCTCTCAACCAATGGAGATGCCTGCCCTCTCAACCAATGGAGATGCCTGCCCTCTCAACCAATGGGGATGCCTGCCCTCTCAACCAATGGGGATGCCTGCCCTCTCAACCAATGGGGATGCCTGCCCTCTCAACCAATGGGGATGCCTGCCCTCTCAACCAATGGAGATGCCTGCCCTCTCAACCAATGGAGATGCCTGCCCTCTCAACCAATGGAGATGCCTGCCCTCTCAACCAATGGGGATGCCTGCCCTCTCAACCAATGGGGATGCCTGCCCTCTCAACCAATGGGGATGCCTGCCCTCTCAACCAATGGGGATGCCTGCCCTCTCAACCAATGGGGATGCCTGCCCTCTCAACCAATGGAGATGCCTGCCCTCTCAACCAATGGAGATGCCTGCCCTCTCAACCAATGGAGATGCCTGCCCTCTCAACCAATGGGGATGCCTGCCCTCTCAACCAATGGGGATGCCTGCCCTCTCAACCAATGGGGATGCCTGCCCTCTCAACCAATGGAGATGCCTGCCCTCTCAACCAATGGGGATGCCTACCCTCTCAACCAATGGGGATGCCTGCCCTCTCAACCAATGGAGATGCCTGCCCTCTCAACCAATGGAGATGCCTGCCCTCTCAACCAATGGAGATGCCTGCCCTCTCAACCAATGGAGATGCCTGCCCTCTCAACCAATGGGGATGCCTGCCCTCTCAACCAATGGAGATGCCTGCCCTCTCAACCAATGGGGATGCCTGCCCTCTCAACCAATGGAGATGCCTGCCCTCTCAACCAATGGAGATGCCTGCCCTCTCAACCAATGGGGATGCCTGCCCTCTCAACCAATGGAGATGCCTGCCCTCTCAACCAATGGAGATGCCTGCCCTCTCAACCAATGGGGATGCCTGCCCTCTCAACCAATGGAGATGCCTGCCCTCTCAACCAATGGGGATGCCTGCCCTCTCAACCAATGGGGATGCCTGCCCTCTCAACCAATGGAGATGCCTGCCTTCTCAACCAAACTTACACGTCAATGTTTCAACCCATCCTCCAGCCCAGTGTCAAATACTGACTTGATGCAGTTTTTGACTTATTCAGCAGGCAATTGACCGGATGAGTCTCCATATAATAACAGCTTTTTCCTGACATGTAAATTACTATTATATATTGTGGGTTAATGTATCGTTATCTTGAGATGGATTTCGGGGGCTTAGCGTCCCCGCGGCCCGGTCTTCGACCAGGCCGACTTTTTGTTATAAGTGGGCTAAGTAGATTGTAAGTCCAAATACTGACTTGTGTAGAGTTTTTGTATCGGTATTTGAATTGTAAATTGTGAACCTCACAGCGTTTTGGCTGCTGTTAGTTGACTCACAAGCCACTAGACTATGTTGGAAGCCTCGCAGCTGTACAGAGGCTACGGTCATCATCAGGCCGTGTTGTGAACACTCTTGCCTAAACCAACGGAACCAGAACACCTTAACCTGGCCATAAACCCGCAATATATTATAACGTGAATATATTATCCACTCAGAGTGGATAAAACATAAGTATTTGGAGCGTTATTGCAGTGTGTTGATTGACCAATTGCATGCCTGTATAACCTTAATCAATCCAGTAAGTCTGTCGTTACAGCGTGGGGCGACGCCCCAAATTTCAGTAAGTTTAGATTAATCTTTCTGTAACTGAATCTTTTCAATACAATCTGGACACTCAAGTCACTGAAAGTCATTCAATGCTTGAATGAATCTGTTTATATAAATTGAATATACCTGTATAATTGATCATATACATTAAGTTAACCATAGCTAACTATGTTATCTTTAATTTATCGAATAAGTTTATCATTGAATATAAATTCATGTACCTAGATACCAGTACTTTGACCAAATTTAAGGTCCTTTAATTGTATATTTACACACATCATACCTCTATAATACAAATTGTTGTGAATATTGGCTGTTGTAATTACAGAGCTAGGCTTCTACTGGACTATGGCTGGACTATGTACATGTTTAGATCCTTCATTTAAACAGTTTAGTAACTGAACACTGGTTCTGAGTCATTTAATCTTATCCTTGTATAAACAACACAACCTGATGTGTTGAATTGTCTGCAGGTGGATTGTAGATAGCCAATCAACTTTTCCATACACCCCTAAGAACCCACTTGCCCCTTACAGCCCGCAGTCTGTCATTAGGACTAGAGAAGCTAAGATTTACAACCCTTGCTAAGGACTTTAGTTATATTAATTTGGCATACAGTAATTTTTAATTTAGTACAGTACAAGACCTAAGTAGTTCTCCTAAATCAATCTCGGCAATTTTTCCGTAGCATACAAGGTTCTGAATGATTCCTTACACAGGTTCCTGAAGGCAGTTCTGATGTTAGCCAGCCTCGCATATGCCGATGTAATTCTTTTTATGTGGGCTTCAGGAGACAGGTTTAGTGTGATATCAACTCCTAGATCTTTCTCTCTGTGCGTTTCATGAAGTACTTCATCTCTCATTCTGAATTCTGTGTGTGTGTGTGTGTGTGTACTTACCCCCCCCCCTCCTAAGAGATGCACCCCCACCTCCTGCTACACCCCCCCCTCTCAGATGCACCCCCCCCCCCACCCCCACACGAAACTCCAACCAGCTCAAACTTTTTCAGAGAATCCAACTCATTCCAACAAACTTTTGTCTTTAAAACTTCGCCTCGGCTATCACCACACGTGGTGGTAGTTGGTGGTAGTTGGTGGTAGTTGGTGGTAGTTGGTGGTGGTGGTGGTGGTAGTTGGTGGTGGTGGTAGTTGGTGGTGGTGGTAGGTTACCTTGAGGTGCTTCCGGGGCTTAGCGTCCCCGCGGCCCGGTCGGTGGTGGTAGTTGGTGGTGGTTTCACTCTCAAAAATCTTTGAGAGTGCTAAGAAGTAAGATCACAAAATACATGGAATCACAGCATCTCCATAACCCCGGACAACATGGTTTCAGAACAGGGCGCTCTTGCCTGTCGCAGTTGCTGGACCACTATGATATGGCATTAGATGCCATGGAAGACAAACAAAACGCTGATGTAATTTACACAGATTTCGCAAAAGCCTTTGACAAATGTGACCATGGTATTATTGCACATAAAATGCGTTCAAAAGGAATTACCGGAAAAATAGGCAGATGGATCTACAATTTCCTGACTAACAGAACCCAATGTGTAATAGTGAACAAAATAAAATCCAGTCCATCAACCGTGAAGAGCTCAGTCCCCCAGGGTACTGTGCTTGCTCCAGTACTTTTTCTCATCTTCATATCGGACATAGACAAGGACACAATCTATAGCACTGTATCATCCTTTGCAGATGACACTAGGATCTTCATGAGAGTAGACAACATAGAGGACACGGCAAACCTCCAATCAGACGTAAATCAGGTCTTTCTGTGGGCTTGGTGGTGGTAGTTGGTGGTGGTAGTGGGTGGTGGTTAGTGGTGGTTGGTGGTGAGTAGGGGATTTTACGACGAGCGACGCGCTCCATTTCTGAGATGGATGACAGACGGAGGAGTTCGATTAATCAGGTGATCCGGGGGGGGGGGGGAATTTCTGGTACCTTTCTCACTCTCGATGTGAGATTTTAGGGGTAACTAATGTATTTTAGAGGACTCTAGCTCTTGGACCAGTGCAAGTCGCAGATGGATGAGAGATGGGTGACCGACGGGTGAGGGGTAATATTCGGGAGACCCGGGTATGGTTTCCGGTTATGCCATGATTATTTTATGTGTCATTATGGGGTGTAGAGAGTGTCCTACACACTGAGATGTGGGTGATGGATGAGTGTTTGAATGCCAGAATATATATATATATATATATATATATATATATATATATATATATATATATATATATATATATATATATATATATATGGCTGATAGTGCCATATTGTATTGCAAGATCTAACCCATTTGGTGAGGTTGGTAGCATAAGTGGCGAGCCAGGAGTTGGGCTACCACTTGATATAACCAGCCGAGTCCCGATGGTATTGGATGCAACCTGACTATAACAGCCACAGGCTGGATTTCCTTGTGTGTGTGTGTATATAATAATTATATATATATATATATATATATATATATATATATATATATATATATATATATATTATATTATATATATTATTAAATATGACCGAAAAAGTAAGATTAATAATTCTAACACGAATTTTCTCAATCTTTCGTACATTTCTTTTCACTGTTGGTGGTAATTCAAAAATCAATTCTCCAAAATTCATTTTTATTTTTGGAGAATTGATTTTTGAATTACCACCAACAGTGAAAAGAAATGTACGAAAGATTGAGAAAATTCGTGTCAGAATTATTAATCTTACTTTTTCGGTCATATTTAATAATATATATAATATAATATATATATATATATATATATATATATATATATACACACATACAAAGGAAATCCAGCCTATGGCTTTAACACTATAGACACCAGTATAAACATTCACACACACACGCACAACTTTCAACGGGCAAACACAACTGTTTTAAATGGTGCCTCATATTTTAAAGTATCCCATGTGTATTATTATTATTTAATATACACCCATAACTTAACCAATCGTGTCTCTCTCTTATATATATCTATTCTTATAGTCGTCTTAAAGTACTGTATATATATTAATGTAGATTTGGATATCCGTTTCCTTACGCCTAATATATCTGATCAAATAGTGTGTAAAAGGGGCAAGAGTAGTATATATACTTATCCAAATGATGTTTACAAAATAAATAATCCTTTCTAAGACAACTTCATGAATTAAAGAATCTATCCGTGACATCAATACTACCTTCCATGATCATTTTAACTGTCATTTACACTCTTTAATATAATTTTATACATCAAAATGATACCTTCATAGTCATTAGGAATACTCTCTGTAGTATATCAATGTAAAAACATACTCTCGGAGGCATCAAAGTTAATCTCTAAACATTGAGAATAGTCTACCATTAAATATCAATCATTCTCTCTGTAACATTGTTCTTCATTTAATAAACACGTCGACAGGGGCAACTGTCCCAAAAAATGTTTGGTCATTGCATGGGCTATTTTCTTAAATGGTGTTTAATGCTTTTGAAGCGTTTGTTGTTAAATACGGGATGTTCAGATGTTTTGTTATATATGTGGGCATTTGTTTGTTTCAAGGGCTAACTGCTCAAATGTGTGTTTATGCATTTTCAAGGGAAATTGATTAAGGTGTTTATGCTTGTGATGGAGGATATTTGTTGTGTGTGTATGATGGATGTTGTGGTGGATGGTGGTGGTGGTGGATGGTGGTGGTGGTGGATGGTGGTGGATGGTGGATGGTGGTGGATGGTGGTGGTGGTGGTGGTGGTGGATGGTGGTGGTGGTGGTGGTGGTGGTTGGGCGGGCGGCAACAAATAGAACATAAGAACAAAGGTAACTGCAGGAGGCCTATTTGTCCCATACGAGGCAGCTCCTATTTATAACCACCCAATCCCACTCATATACATGTCCAACCCACGCTTGAAACAATCGAGGGACCCACACCTCCACCACGTTACGCGGTGATTGGTTCCACAAATCAACAACCCTGTTACCGAACCAGTATTTACCCAAGTCTTTCCTAAATCTAAACTTATCCAATTTATGCCCATTGTTTCGTATTCTGTCTTGTGTTGATACTTTTAATACCCTTAAGGGCGGACGGCAACAAATAGGGTGGGCGGCACAACCCCCCGTGGTGTGTCCCAATTATACCACGAGTTTTTCTTTTCCCAAGGTATTTTATATGTAGTGATCATATTCCCTGTGCTCTGCTCTCTTCATGTTATCAAGTAATTGGGGCGCCTTACCTTGAGGTTACCTTGAGGTGCTTCCGGGGCTTAGCATCCCCGTGGCCCGGTCGTCGACCAGGCCTCCTGTTTGCTGGACTGATCAACCAGGCTGTTGGACGCGACTGCTCGCAGCCTGATGTATGAGTCACAGCCTGGTTGATCAGGTATCCTTTGGAGGTGCTTATCCAGTTCTCTCTTGAACACTGTGAGGGGTCGACCAGTTATGTCCCTTATGTG